AGTAAGGTGAAAAAGTGCCAAATCAAAGTTCCAGCTTGGCATTCCATCTGGGAGGAAGATCCACCTGCAGTCTGAGCCAGCTGGTTGCCAAGGGAGGCTAAAGCTGGCCTATGGATAGCAGCCACTGTCCGTCTGTGGCTACTTAACACTTGATAGCCAAAGCAATTTAGGAACTCACTTTTTAGCTTTCATGGTTAGTATCTAAAATTTAATAGGTTACTGGAAAATTTACAATTGCACATGCGGCTATCATTGTATTTCTACTGGAAGTGCTGCAGTAGTCTAAAGAATATGAAACCTCACAAGTGAGCAAAGTCTAGGTGAATTTTCCGCCCCTGAGAAACAAATGATATTGGAAAAGACTCTCCTCTAGTTCCTATGTAGTGGCCAAATTGGGGGATTTATCTCAAACCACCATGAGCTGGACTCTGGCTGTTCATTGTGTTCACTTTTGGTCTCAGAAGTTCAACCAACACCAGGTTTCTGGGCAGCATTGCCCCATCGTTGCCTGGTCTCTAGTCCCACAAGCGACCAGGTGAAGAGCCTGCCCAGTCCCTACGCCCTGCAGCAGCCCAAGGAAGGGCTGGACTAGGGAATGTAAGTAGCTTACCAGAAAAGCCATTTGCATGGGAACTAGGCAATCCACCCCCAAAGAGATGTTGATGTCAGGCAAATGGTCATTCCACCACACTTAAGGGTCTACAAGGAATTTGGTCCAGCTCCTACACCTTGAACACCACCCTCTCAAACCAGCTTATACTCAGCTTCCTCTACTCAGGACACCGAGTTCGGATCAAACCAGACTGAACACAACTACTAAAGATACTCATAAGTATTCAAGTGTTCTCAGATGAGTTATGACTAGACTTTTAGACTTTCTACTATTCCTTGGGAATATGATTCAGTGGGAACATTATTTGTATTACAAATGATATTTAGAACCACTCCAGTTATATTCAGTGGATTGTATTATCTGTCACCATCTTTAGGGTATAGAACCTAGATGAACACAGAAGACGGAATAGTTGATTCTTCCTGCAGAAATTACAAAACATGACTAGGATACAGATTTTCTGTCTCTGAAGTCAATGATTTTTCCCTTACATTATACCTCTGCTTTATAAATACTGCATTAAATGGGCATAAATATACCTATTATGCAAGTTGAAAAATAAAAGCCAAATGAATTATAAAGATGTCCACATCTCTCACGTTCTATTCTCAGTCTTCTCTACTTGATCAAGATCTTTCTTGTGGGCAAACATCCCAAAGTGAAATTCATATCTTCACTCCTCATTTCTATGCGAAGTATTCCTATTTTGATCTTTTTAGCCCCGACCTGTCTTCTAGGCTCTAGCACTACATTTCCAACTGCTTGGTGTATTTTATCTGTTCCCAAAAACCCCCACACATTTAAATTGCACTATATATAACTAAGGCATCTTCAAAGAACTTAAAAAGCAGAAGGAAAAAGAAAACTTGGTAGAAAGTCTGTAGTCCATTACCTCTAAAGGGAAAACAAAATCCCGTGTGAGGTAGTACTTTGCACCGGATGACACAAATCCTCAGGTTATCTGCCTTCCTCCCTGTCGCTACGCAGTATTCTAACAATGCATCTGGCTTCCCAGGCAGCGCCACACCTGTGCAAGCGGTTCTTCTGAATTCAATGCTTTTGTTTAATACAAGCTAAGGTTCAGTTTCTGTCTCCATGTTCAGAAATATTTTTACACAGTACATATTTATTCAGAATGCACTATATTCTAGGCCCTGAAATTGCAACATGATAAGTGAGACACATTGTGTATATATTTCTAGAAAAGCAAATAGATTTTTTACCTAGTCTAAGGGATCAGAAAGGCTTGTCTAAGGTAATGGCATTTGAGAATATGTAAGGGCCTTGGGGTAAAAGGAAGTAAATTACTGTAAAAGAAATGTTGTTCCTAATCTGGTCTGGGACAAAACATTATTGCATGATATAATTAGGAATCTTCTTCTTTGAATAAATTAGAACTCCGATAATAAAATGTTTTGCCATTTTAAATAATTAATTATTTATGGGATTAATATTTGTCTTGGGGAACCAGTCACTCACACATCCACCTGAAAGTCAAGAAGCTGGGGGAGTTTTAAATATTCTTTTTGCCTAATCTACATTTTCTATAAATCTCCCTCCCAGGAGAGAAACCTGTAAATTGGTGTACTAGAAGTTGTTTCCCATGTAGCAAGATTATGACAAAACTTTGACACGTGCTCATAGCTGAATTGTCTGGGATGTTGTTGCTGTTGTTATTGCTTCAAAAATTACATCTAGGTTCTACAATTAGGCTAATGTCATAGAATAGAACCAACATCGGGGCAGTGGACATGATGAAAAAGGAAGCCATGGATAAGCAAAATCCAGATTGGGCAAGAAATTCTGTCCTTTGACATTTGAATCCTATTCTTAAAAAAGAAATACAAAAGAGATGAGGGAGGTAACCACATTTACATTTTATAAAGATCAATCTTTCTATAGCAGTGCTATCCAATAGGAATGGAAATATCAAGCGAGTCACAAATATGAGCAAGATATTTTAATTGTAAATTTTCTAGTAGCCACGTTAAAAAAAAGCACAAAGAATCAGGTGAATCAATTTTAATACTATAGCTAATATAACCCAAGATATTGAAACATTTTCATGTTAACATGTGATTAACATAGAAACTATTTACCTGGTTGTTCACCAACTTCAACTCTAGAATGCTATTCTAGAATATCTTAATATTTTAGAAGTGTTAAAGTGAGGTGTTAAAAATTCCAATGATAAAGGAAAGGTTTATTTATTTATTTGTTTACAATTTCATGGAAAACAAACAACTTGAGAACTTTTATTTTCCAATAATAAGATTCTAGTCCAGAATGTGCTGTCTATATTTAATTTCTATCAATATGTTTTCTTGCTGATGAGCTCCTGGGTAATTAAGAGGTAATGTACTATTCATGTGGAGAAGAGATCCTCTAATGATTACTTATCCAAATCATTTTCACTGAACTAAAAAATAATATTGAATTCAGTAATGCAATGTTTTACCTATTAGTTGGTGCCAAAAAACCTACAAAAAGCCCCCACAAATGAAGCTTCTTTTTAGACATCTTAACTGATCAAAGACATAGAACTAGACATTCTTTAAGGCGGTTTATTTCTTATAAAAATAATATGGTTTTGTTTAACGTGGAAGTCCAAAAGGCTGAAATAAAAGTATTTGAGTTTCTCCAAACTCAAACATAATTCACTGATATTGTTGATTCTATCCATATCTGAATATATATCCTGTAGCTACTACTCAGTCAACTTCTCACTGGTCATTCTTATAGTAGAGAACTTAGGTACCCATCAAAATGAGAAATAAAAAGGACAGAGATCCAATTGTACTAACTGTAAGTCCCTTAGGTCCACAGCCTGAATGTCAATGCCGCTGATGCCTAAGAAAGTTGCCTGGCACATAGTAGGTGTATAATAAACTTTGGCTGAATAATAACAGCTGTCACTTATATAGCACTTAAGAGGTAACAGACACTTTTCTGACAGCTTCACGTATTTTAAAACATTGTCTTCAAAGCCATCTTAAGAGGGGACACTGTAATTATCCCATTTTACAGATGAGAAAACTGAATGAAAGATACTCTTTTAATATGACTCTATTATTATCTTAAATATATTTACAAATTGAATCCTGAGAATATTTGTTATACAACTGGTGGTAGTGATTTATTATAATAGCAGTGTTAATACAGCAGCTAACATTTATCCAGTTTCCTGAGTGCCAGACGTCCCTTTCAGTGCTTTACAGATTTCAACTCAATCCTCCTAACAGCTCTCCGAGGTAGGTACTATGGCTGTCTCCATTCTATAAACGAGGAAACTGAGCTAAAAGATGCATTCTTTAAAAAAAACTTAATTTTAAATAAGTTGAATTGCTTTACACATTGTTCTCAAGAATGTTTGAAAATAGAATAATATGTATTTTATAATTACTATTTTATAATAATGACGGTTGTTAAGGCAGCTACAATCCATGGAAGGATTTGTAAGTGTTAGGCACCGTTCAAGGAAACTGCACGCAATAACCCATTTGACCAGCAGAGCAATCTGTGAGGGGTGGATACTGTTACTGTCATCGTTTTATAGTGAGGAAGAATGTGAGTGAATCCATCGAGGTTACACAGACAAGAATGACAGTGTTGGGATTCATACTTGGGCAGACTGATATTAGACATGTCAGAATTTTATTCAAGTTTTGTATTAATTCAATGTTTACCTGGATAGGATGAAGTGTGGAAATTTCTTGTATCTCCCAAACTGTGAATGAAGGAACAAATGCACCAGTTTTAATCCATTATGGATGACATATCCATTTTAACTAATACCTTTACTTTTGCTCTACAACTGTTCTAGTTAAAAGTCTTCCTGTTTTTAGAATTAAAACCTTACTTATATCATCCAAATATACATTCCAATCATTGGGTTGGAGCCCGAGGTGCTTTGAAAAGAATTCTAATTTTAAAAGACGTTCTCTTTCTTTTTATAATCTCTATTTAAAAATAAGTTGCCACCAAAAGAATTATGCTGCCTTAAAATCACCTTCAGCGCCAAAATGTCAAAAGGGAATTTAATGGAATGAAAACAAAGAAACGTTTAATGAGTTGATTTGACTAAGTGGATATCAACATTTTATTTTATATTAATTCTCATTTTATAATTAGGCATTTAGGTAGACTCATCAGAATTTTCTAAAAATATTCAATGAATAAATAACTTTCATTTTAAAAGATATATCTAGTGCCTTCAATTTATTTATTTACTTAAAAGCTATGAAGTCGTTTCTATGAGGTACATAAAATAAAAATTCACACACATCCCTATTGATGGCGCGTTAACAGTGCAAGCAACATTTTAAAGCTTGACACTTCTTGGTGCATAATTATTCAATTTTTCTCCATATATAGACACCACACATTGTTGTCAATAAATAATTACACTTTAATGGCAAAGTAATAATTTAGACAGATACAGGGTGCACATTTGCAAAAAAATATATGCAAGCTGGTTTACAAGCTAGAAGAACAATAAACCAATAGAAAATACATCATCCAGTTAAGTCCATGACACGAAGTACTTATTGTTGGGGCTTTACAAAGACTACAAAACTTTGCAGATGATTTATTTCACTGTTTCTGTCTATTTACATGATATGTTACATCAAAAATGTACAAAATATAAAATGTATACAGACAAATGTTTCACAAACTAGTTTAAGTTGTAAACTAGGTGGACCTACTGAGATGTATTGCAGGAATTTCTGTTTATGACCATGTTTGGACTGTGTTTCTCAAAATGGCAGGGAAAGATTAGCAATTTTCTTAGATCACATATTATACAAGGGCAACTAGTCACTCATCCAGCTACACGAATCGATGTTTCACAACAGATTTGACCCATGTTTGAGGCTTCAAAGTTAGGGTGACAATTCTATGTGCATAAATTCGGTTCAGATTTCCCGGAGGGCTGTAGCACCGTGTAGGACCTATGGAGACTTAGTAACACTCTGAAAACTGCACAGATGTCTTGTGCTGTTAGTGTTCTATAGCAACTGACCCACGGGTGGTCACAGAGAGTAGCACCGATTACACGTCCTGAAAGGAACACATTTTCACACGCATAGAACAAGTCTACACCATGGCCTAGCCCTTGGGTTTTATAAACTTAAAACCTGTCCTCTGTGTGTGGTGGTAACTTCTCCAATGACCCCGATCAGTCTTCATGCAATCTCTTTAAAGCCTGCCACGACAGATGCACTTTGAGACAGTTTCACTTTTCCAGAAATGGACTGGCTTCAGGTACGGTTTTGAAGCATGCTCACTGTAGCACTGACAGCTCCTGCGTGGTCACGACAACTGTAAATAGAGGACGGACACACCAGAGAACAACAGCTTTGAGGGGTTTGCATTCTGTATTTGTTTGCAACGTACAGGAAATCTCAGCAAGTGAAACACCTCTTAACACCAACAGGATAAAATACAATTTTTTGTGTGTTTGTTTGCAAAATCAATTTGTGCAAGTTTTTAAAATTATTATTTACAATACCTACCCAGTAGACTGTGCAAATCTAACCTTCTTTTACAGTATAAATGCTTCCCCCTCCACAGTGACTTCACTGCTTCAGTGTTCTTTAATGCTGAATTTCTCATGTACAACAATAGCAATCAAAACAACATGCTCAAAACTAATAATAATAATTTAAAAAAAAGAACAGGGGAGGAAAGCCAAATAGTTGTGCTCATGCTGCATCTAGTGCCTCCAGCTCTGCTGGATAACAATTCAAAATCTCCCACCTTCTAAACTCTCTCACCTAGGACTGGATGGAATTTAGCCACATGTCTTAGCTTTTAAGTGACAGTCAAAGAGGGTTTCTGGGTTACTTGAATATTTTGGAGGATAGGCAAAGCAATCTATTCACAAGGTAAAAATACTGATCTTTCTCCTATCCATTTCTTAAAAAAAAAAAAAGATATATAGAGATGAGGCTACTGTGTTAACTCGTGTTGCTTGGTTGTAAATGAAAAGACGGTGGAAATTACCAGTGGTTTAGGACTTAAACCAGCTGTTAAACTCTTGTAGAAATCTGTTTTAAGGCAGCGAGACAGCACCATAGGAAATGTTCCTTCTTTCACTGAAAAGGCTCAAACAAATGAAGCCCTAAAAAAGCCTTTTGTCAGTGTTGACTAATAATTGGTATAAAACTCTTGTTAAAGGAGTGGGCAGGTGGTTTAAAAAGACCACTGTGGTAAAAATAACCTTATAAAACCTGGGACTCTTACACTAAAAAGTTGGTGGAGCACATCATGTGAACATGGCAGTTAAGAATTAAATTGGCACTTCTCCAGCTTGCCACAGTAGTGTTTTTCTGGTGGTTGCACAATTCCATTTGTGCTTACAGAGGACTGGCCTCTTGGCTTCGTTTTGGAATGGGGTTAGCGCACAACACAAACACTACTGGAGCCCTGTGACCAGCACCATGTGGCACAAAGGAGGTTGGGCGGATCAGAAGAATGGACCCTGCCTGAGGAGAACAGCCCCTCAGAGGAAAGAAAGGAAGGGACAAAAAAAGGTCTGCATTGTAAACTTTTAAAGAGGAAAAACATAAAGTCCAGTTTGGCTATCCCATGTGCAATCTATTCAGTTGCCCTGTCATTAGGGTCCTTTCCAGTTGATTAACGGAGCCTTATATCATTCCACGGATATAAAAATGCCTAGACATAAAATAAAGGTAAGCTTTCATTTCAATTTAGCATCTTGGCAGTTCAGACTTCCTTCTGCTGCCTCCTTGGAGACCATGACCCAGGGTCAGGGCCCTTGACAGGGTGCTTTCATACTGGCAGTGGTTTCGTGAAAATACCTTACTTTTTAAACATTTTTTAAAAGCATAGTCTTTTCCCCTAACTTTTTTCACCCTCTAGAGGGTAGATTCAAGAGATGACTCCAAAATGTCTTCATGGTGGCTGGTGCTATCGCTGTCACAGCTTTGTGTGCCCGAGTAGTTGGCTGCTTCTTGGAGTTTCATTAGCATATTCATCTGAAGAAAGAAAAAGAGACATCGATGTAGGCAATGATGCATTGAGTAAGCCAGCCTCATAAAATACAGGGCCAGCCCCATAAAATACACTGAGGAACTGTCTCATCCCATCCAAGTGAAATGAGAAAACAATTTTCTATTTTCACTAGTTGCCCCTGGCTCCTACACTATTTCTCTCAAACATGACTATGACACCAAACCATAAGGACAAAATAGGCCCTCTAGGTAACTCTTTTATTTGGGGTTGTGAATGAATATGGCTCCAGCAGGGAGATTGGGAAGGAAACTGTATCACAGCTGGACATCTGGGCTCATTGCTGGAGAGTATGCCAAGCTTCCCAGCTTTTTGGCTGGGAGAAGCAGAAAGCATTGAATGGCAACTGAAAGTCGTGAATGTTCACACACACACAGTCCCTTGGGAGAAGGAGGGGATGGAGTGGAATGAAGCCAGCTGCTGCACACAGCACACCATCTGCTGTTTAGGAGCTGACCTCGAGAGGAGGTGACTGAATGAAGCCGACCATGAGTGTTTGATGAGGGAGAAGGAAAGAACTGCTGTCAAGTTTCTGTTGTTGCTAAATTTCTGGCTAAAATATGATTGATATATCACTGAAAACAAAAACCACCTTCTGGAACAATAGCGGCTGTCTCATGTTTCCCAGCCTTACAGGATACTTGGTAATGTTTGTTCTAGTAAAAGGGACATACGCATGAGAGCACCTGGGGAGAAAGACAGCGAGCATTTCCATGTATTACAAAATAAAAGGCGGCCCCCTTGCTTGGATTTTGATAGACCTGCAGATGCACTGTTAGAGATGGATGTAAAGGGAATGACTGTGTGAAAGCAAACTGTGGATAAATGATTCAACGATTTTAGAAAGCACATAAAAATTGGCACATGTCTTCACGAGGGTATGGACTTGTTTTCTTATCAAGGATTTCTATAAATTTTAATAATCTTTATATTGTTTAATGCATGCTAACTTTATTATTTTATAATCAAAATTGTTCTTTTTTTTTTCCAACTTGGAGATATAGGGAATCTGATCCAATAGAAAGGAGAAATCTGAAAAAGGATTCTTTAGTCATATGTTAGGCTATGCATGCTTGTGTGTTCGGTGTAAAATGTCTGCTTAAAAAAATGCTTGTGAAATAAATGATAAACTGGTAATCACCAATTTCAGCAAGAATGCCTTTCTGGCAAAAGAGCTACAGTTATAGCATATTTTAAAGTCATTTAAATATTCTTCAGGACAATATTTCTCAACATAATTTTTAGTCTAACTCTCTGAATTTATTAAATCAGCTACATAAGCATACGAAATGAAAGTTTTTGGTGATAACCTCTCAAACCCAGTAAGCCAAAAGGCAAACATTTCCATCAACACACTGTTTCTCTCTCTCCCTCTTCTCTCTCTCTCATACAGAGACAGACACAGACACAGACACACACACGCCTACCTTCATGCACCTTCATATTCCCTCCCTCTTTTCTTAGGTCAATTCTTCCCTCAATAGTAGCTGGCTGTAAGTTCAGGCATTTGGGTGAAGATGATTTGTAAAACAGAACTGTGTTTTGAGCATCCTCCTGATTTACTAAGAGTAGAAATGGTGAAGGGGGTCTGTTTAAAGGGTTATGACTCTGTCTCAGTCACAAATGTTTGAAATCACTTGAATGCTGAATGACGTAAAAGGTTTATAGTGTAATACTAATGTTATTAAAGTCTTAATTTTTGAAAATGATGCCATATAGTAAATACGTTCCCGTAGAAGAAGTTTCAAATCTCAGATTCATAATAAATGTATACAAGGGATTTTCTTTGCTTTCTCATAGCATTGCTTTGTGCATTCAAATAAAATGAGATTACAAGAGGGAGGTAAGGTCACAAATGATTCAAGAGTCACTGGGATAGAACATTATTCTCTACAAAAATATTTCCCTCCTCTCTTCTCCTCTGCTTCTTCCCCATACCCATGGTCATAAATATAATGTCTATCATTTGTAACACCTTGGTCAGGTCCTTATCATCTCTGGTATTTACAAATCTGCTAGACTCCCAGCCTCCATCCTTTCTCCTTCAATCTGTCCTCTATTCTACAAAGTGATCTTTATAAACTGCAAATCTAACCAGGTAAGTCCCCTGCTCAAAAACATTTGGTGGCTCCCCATTGTCTATGAGATAAAGTTCTAACTTCCTACAATGATAAACAAGTCTTGGCATGATCTAGAAATTGTAGACTTCTATAGCTTTAATTTCTCCTGCCCCTTTTGTCCTAGTCCCACCAATTTGTATACAGCTCCCTAAATTCATCATCTTTATTATACTGTCCCATGTTTCACCTGCTACTTCCTTAATTTTGGATTTTCTTATCCAACTACGTGGTGAACTTCTATTCATCCTTCCAGACCTAGCGCAAGCACCTCCTCCTCTGTGAAGCTTCTCCTAATCACTTCCTCAATGGACTCATAACTTTACCTAGTATGTACCTCTATCATTATTTTACTATAATTATATTGGTAGATCTCTCTTTCTACTACTGGACTGTGAGCTTCTCGAGATCAAAAACAGTATCTTATTTATATCCTGAACACCAAGTCTTAGTCCTAACTATATACTTATTACCTATTAACATTTATTTAATGAACATGAATTTGTTGATGATGAATACACATTGTATTTTTAAAATACAGTGAGATGTGCCAAAAACTTGCATCCTTGTTCAGATTCAAAAACATATTTCTGACATTAAACCTAATATTTCTGATTTAGATTAACTGTAAACATATTTTTATCTTAGTCAGAAATTATAGAAATATAGAGAAATAGAAGCAGATATAGAGAAAACATTGACTTTCCTCTCAGAATGTGCCTGATCCAAAGATTTATTTTTAGATGATGTCTTTTGCCATTTAACGTGTCATGTATCATAACCTCCTGTTTCTTAAGCTGTTTAGTTGAGCAGCAGATTAGGAGTCAGAGATTTATTTAATTCCAATTCTCACTCAGAATGGGAAACTCTGGCTCTCTTTTCTGTACTAGAAGACAGGAGCATTCAGAGCCAGAGAAAAGAGTGCTGGATGGGTTTAGCTGTGGGAATTGGGAAAGTTAAGGGCATCCCCTAAGGGTTCCATAATTTACCGAGTAACTCTCCAAACAAACTCTATAAACACCTCTCCCTGCGTGGAACAGTCACAGCATATCAAAACTGCAGAGGGAGAACTAGAATTTATTTAAAAAGTCAGACAAAATAACCCATACTTACACCCTAAGGCTTATATTTACTCTATTAAATTTTAACCATCCTATCAACAATTATTTAGCGTATACTCATGATTATGCTGGATTCAAACCAATCTCACACCACTACTGTTAATTTCTAACTATGTATGAGCTAAAGGGCCAGGTACCTGTTACAAAAATATAAGTCCAGGCCCATAACGAGATTGTAGTTTAGAACCAAAGTCCTATATAGAAGGTCCCAGGACTCTAGGAAGTCTATGCACACACTTCAATGACTTTATGAACCCTTTGAAATAGCATGCAAAATGTTCTGTGTCTGCATTTTTCTGGGGAAAGGATCTTGAAAATTAATCAGATTGTTTACACGTAACCGGCAAAATGTTAAGAACGATCAGCCGAGATGAGGATGAGGTATACAAGCTGGGGTTGTGGAGGTAATGATATTTCCTAAAATATCAAGTCATTTTATGTTCTTGGGCATAGTCATAGGTTATGGTTTTTAATCATTTCCTGTTTCATTTGTTTAAGTAACAAAATGGGCTTTATATCACTATCTCTTCTTTCTGTATTGGTTGTATAAGTCCAATGATTTCTTTAGTCATAGAATGGTAAGCTACTAAACATGTTACATTTGATACCAATCTATAGAAAGTCATCCACAAAAATAAAAAAAATAAATACATTTAAAAAAGTATTTTTCCTAATACATCATGTACTTAATATTTTCAGGGTACTAATACTTTGGAGTTTTATCGACTTTTATTAAACCATACATGATTGTAAATTGAGCAAGTCAGGGAGAATAACTTCTCTTTGATTTCCAAGAGAGTCTATTCTTCATCACTGTAGGCGACAGGAGACTCATTCTAAATCTAGTCAAATTAGTTGATATATGTAAAATATTCTTTAGTTCTTTAAGTATACATTAGATTATATTCTTTTGGTTTTTCACTTAAGAACAAAATTCAGTTTTCTTTAAATACCTAGTAAAACTTATGCACTGTTTAAAATTTATTTAGTTACACAATTTTCTGCATGATAAGGGAAAAATTAAGGTCACAGAGTTAAGGCCTGGTTTCAGTGTTTCTTGATTATTTTTAAGGATGTAAATTTGATCTTTCATTTTAAGAATTTCACCCAGTGAAAGCAGGCCAAAAGAAGAAGAGTTAAAATTGAGTATCAATATCAGGAAAGTCCCAAATAGTATCTAGGATAACCAATATCTTTGATACAAATGACTAAATATTAACAACTACGCTCTGTAGTCATGATTATATAGGAAGAATCAAACATCAGCTTCTTACCAGGGGATCCCCCTCTGTGTCAGTTTGTGGAATGTGCTTTGAGGTTGTGGCTTCCTTAGTGGATATGCAGCCCTCATATCCAACATCTTCTGGTCGCAGCTGAAGTAAAGCTGGGCCCTCCTGAGGCAGAGACGCTGAGCTCCATGGGTATGTATCAAGTACCCACTTTGAAGGATCTTCCCAAGGGGCACGTTTCCCATACATCTAAGAGGTGATCACATATTTAGCACATATAAAATACATTTCTATTCAGTAAAACAGGCGACTACTAACTGAGTGATTCCTTTGCTCATTGAGTTCTTATGAGGCTTTTGAGGGAATTAAAGGGTAATATATAACATACAATTTTGCAAATTTTAAACATATGTCTGTCCATACAGTTCACTTTAAATTGAAGGCTGGACAAAGCGAAGCTGATATCTGGGATAGGTGATCAGCATCTGGGGGAAAGGGTTAGGGGGGCTTATTTTAAATACATGTTGAAATGACTCCCCACATTTATCTTGATTAGTAATTTTACAAACCAAAAGAAAACTCAAAGTTGAGAAAGAAAAGTGCTAGTTTTGGAGAACTGAAAAAAGCCACACTTGACTCTAAGTAGAGTTCTCTATTAACGTGCACTTTGGAAAGATGATGAATAAAAGAAAAGAGACTTCGTTTTTCTCTGTCTAGTTCACTCTACTCAAACTTTCTTTGAGAACAAGAATACTTTCTCTGACAACCAGCTTCCTCAGATTAACACCCTCTAATGATCTCATTCCTTCCTGTAAAAGCTCTTTTTAGATGTTTATTTATAAGACTACTAGTAAAAGAGGAGGGAAAAATGGGAAATGGAAGCGTCAACATTGTAAGGACTCAAATGAAGGGAAAAAGTCAATATGGAAGTGATGATAAAGCTAGTTAAAGTACTGGTAGCAGAGTAGAGGGAGAGGATGAATCCAAGAGATGTTAAAAAGTTTTTCGGCTGGAAGCAAAGCCAAAACCAAACTAGGAAGAGCACACTGAAGAGAGCGAGGTGGATGGAACTTTGTCAATAAGGACAAGGCCACAGACAGACAGAAAGAAAAGTTAAAATTAACAGAAGAGGGCAGTAAGAGGGGAATATTAGTTCTTTAATGTACTTCCCCTTCCACTTGACCTGCTCCACTGAGGGCAATCCTGGTTACTAGGTGCATATGTGGTCCCAGATGGCATTCTGTGAGGTGTCCTATGTGGCTTGCTGTGGTTCAGTGAGACAAAAGCAAAATGGTGGACACTGACACCATGAAAGGTCCATGAGCTGCCTTGGGATTGCCTTTTGGGTTTCTCCTGGAGAAGTTGTATGAGGTTGTGGCAGCCTTGCCTTAAAAAAAAAGTTCAAGTCCTGCTATCTCTCTATTTACATAGGAGATGCTGGCAGGAGTAGAAATCATTAGATTTTTTTTTCATAGTTCTGTTGTTTTGGAGAGGAAGTTTTCTCTTAATTAAAAACCTACTTTATAGAGAATTTAAACATTGCTTGCTATACTACTTAAACTAATTGAAGAAAAATGTGTAATTCTTGGAAAGCAAATGTTATAAAAAGAACATGAAAGTCTACAATCAACTGATGCCAGCCTTTTGAAGAATCATCAAGGACAGTAAAACTGAAGGTGACCAATAAAAAGCTGTGTAGGCCCAATTCTCTATTTCAGAGTAAAACAGATACTATAGAAAAAGAATTGAGAGAAGAGACATTTAAACAGTCAGAATGAGATGAGTTGATTGCTGACATTTTAAGAAAGATAGAATCACCAGAATCAAAACCAAAATCCATTGCATCACTAGTGTTTTTTCCAACTAGAACATCTGGCAGAGAGTAGTCTCCATATGGTTCCTCACCAAAGCATTGGCCTTCATTTGAAAAGAGATTTTTCTGTTTCTCTCAAAGCAGATTTTCATCTTTGCCATCAGGCTTTGGTTCTCCACCTCTTGCTCCAATGAAGGTTCTTTTTTGTCAGTAGATTCAAGAGAATCGTTCATGACATATGTGATTCCTTTCCTTCCTCCCTCTCTAGAAGGCATATTTGGACCACCCCGGGAAAAATCACTTGCTGATGGACTTATGGGTAAGCACATCCTTCAGCAGCAATGAGAATTGTCTATCTACCAAAAGGTCTTCCTTTCCATCTCTCCTATGTGCTAGATTTTCTCCCCACATTTCCTAGATCATGGTTGAGTCAGCCTTCACATTAAACACCCAGAACCATAGCAAGACACTTGAGACATTTTAATCCCTCTTCAAAAATAATTTTGAAGTATCTCTCAGCTTTAGTTGGGGAAACTGGTATTACTTTAGTGATTATACTTTTGCCCAAATGGAAGATTTATAGAATTATAATTCTCTGGATAGTGTTTTATAAATAATATTAATTTAAATATAAAATGAACTCATTCACCTTTTAAAAATGAGATGTAATGAAACTAAGCATGTTTAGGTATTATTGTTTTTGACTTTTTAAAAAGCTTCTTTTTCTGTCTATGTATTAGCAAACAAATGTGAAATAAGAAGAATTTCATATATACAGACTTGGATAACAGTTTATTAATACTGAAACTGTATCTAGAGAACAAATAGTTCATTTAAACATTAATTTTAAAATTATGAATATTATTAACAAAATTTCATAATTTTTTTTTGTATAAATGATTGAAATTCAGAAACCCAACCCACATCTTAGGCAGCACACTAGTTTTAGAGGAATCCTGAAAAGTGATATATATGCTATACTTGAAAAACAAAAACCTTTGATATAGTGTTTTATTTTGTTGGAGGCATTTTCTGGGGCTAGATTTGTTCATACCCTTAAAAAGATGAAAATGGGTTATTTAAATCTGGTGTGGAACCAACTGATAGCATTCTTCATGATCACTGTTTTCTCTGAGTGTTCTGAGCATCCTCATAATATCCATGTTTACCAGCTCCATTGTGATAGCTCTAAACATTGTCATACCATTCTACTAGGTGAGAAGAATATGAAGGTGAAAAGAAGGTGAAAGGAGGTGAAAGGAAGGAAAATAGATAACCAATTTTTAAATTTTTTTTGGTGAGCAAGATTCGCCCTGAGCTAACATCCATTGCCAATCCTTCTCTTTTTTTTTCCTCAAGGAAGATTAGCCCTGAGCTAACATCTGTGCCAGTCCTCCTCTATTTTTTGTATGTGGGATGCCTCCACAGCATGGGTGATGAGAGGAGCAGGTCCACACCTGGGATCTGAACCTGCGAACCCAGCTTGTGAAAGGAGAGCACGCAGAACTTTAACCACACAGCCACACAGCTGGCCCCAGATAACCAATATTTTAAACAGTAAAACAAAGACTTGACACAGTATTGCAGATGACAAAACGTGAAAAGCATAAACTATATCTTAATTCTAGTAGCAACTGTAATAACCAGAAATAGAGATGCCTAAGCAAAAACTGCCCAAACCTTGGCCGAGCTATTGAAAAGGAGATTGGATGCTTCTACAATAAGTTGGGTGATTATGTGACACAAATCTTATAGATTCATCCTTGAGTTTTGTAATTCTACAGTTCCATTAAATTTCAACTCCAATTTAAGGAAATAGCAAGACTGAAGGGAAAGTGATAATATATTTTGTTGAAGAAACAGAGTTTTCTTATTAAGTGATGTATTTTGACTTTTTAGTTAAGAGTAAATAGAAGGGCTTGTTGCAGGGCCTTACAATGTAAGGTAGATGAGAGGAACAGCAGAGATGCCGCTAAACCAACCTGTCTTGGATAAGAAAATCAACTGCCTTAGAATTTAGCACACTCCCTCCAAAATAGTAAGGGATCTTGCAAGTGATGTTAAAGGGCTTCAACCAACAAAACTGAAACAGGGAATGTATAAACAAATACTTCTTGTGGGAAATTATATGATGAGAGGATAAACGATCAAGGTCCATGTAAACATGTTTGTATTATAAGATGTAGAGTATAATGTTATAAGATTATAAGATGTACAATTCGCTAGATATCTAATAAGAGCAGTCTTGTAAACACCAGTGGCAATAACATTGGCCTTAAATGTGTAGTTATTGGAATAATTGTGCTTTCTCTTTCTCCTACATATTTCTTCTCAGAACAGGAAAAAGTATTGTATACTAGTCGCTCTTTAAACTTTACCACAATATTTACATAATTAACGCCTTTAGTTTTCTGCTTATACCCAGAGAAATGAATGGCTTTTCTTTCAAAAATGATGATTTTTTTTGCTGTTTTTTTAAACAGTAAAGAAAATTGAGTACTATACCTGAAGACCTTCTCTCACTGCCTCCAGAATATAAGGTACCAAAGAATAGTTCCAGAGATCCATGAACCACACTCTAGAACCTTCTACATCCATGGGGCAAGGGAGGAAAAGTCGGGGACCTGAGCAGAAACAAATAAAACATTTTTGAGAACCATTATATTTAGTAATCTAAACACATATTTAGATACTATTTGGGGGAAATTAATATATTTCTTGCAGGATTCTTAGAAAAGTATAATCTTAGCCAGCTCGATTATTATTAAAGTATATTTTACTGAAGATCCAATCTCCCAGACTCTCTTTTCTTTTTATACTAAAATCTTAATCCAAAACATAACATATTAAAATTAGAAGAAATCTTAAAGGTCATAATCCAGTGAACCTGTCTCATTGTACAAATGATAAACCTGTGCTGAAATGAACTGCCAAATAAAACTATGTCATTCTTTACAGAAGTGGTACTCAGTCTTGGTCTTCTGATCCCAAATGTAGAATTCTTATTTCTAATTCACACTGTGTCTTTAGTGAGTATGTCTTTATGATCCATAACAACAGGGAAAGGACTTTTATACATGCAACTTAAGAATGGTTACAAAAATACACATCTTAATGCCAACTAAAGAGAAATAATTCAAACAATTTTGTCTTTATGAAAAATATAAAACACCTAAATTATCCATAAAACACTTAAATTATCTCTAACACTTAAATATTCTCTCACAGCTATATTTGACATGAGCCATTAGTTAAAATTTGTTTTTTTTCCTTCTTCTTCCCAAAGCCCCACAGTACACAGTTGTATAAACAAGTTACTTGAAACAGATACAACTTACTTCAAATGGTTATCTGATATTTTAGATTTTTATTTGCATTAAATATTTGACATCAGTAGGATAAACCATAAATATTAGAAAAAATGGATCTAATTGGAGATACAAAGCTTAGAAGAAGGCAAACTTTCAGAAGGGAAAAAAAGAAAGCTTAAATCTTGGGAAGCTTGAAAAACATTAGCTCCACTTGTTATTTTCTACCATCCAATCTGGCCATCTTTACCATGGACTCTTCGTTCCTGGAAAATAGCATATTGCAATTTTGGAACTCACCAATGGTAACATCAGAAGAACTGTGTGTTTCCAAAAAACTGTTGAGATGATGCCATGTCTTAGGAATCCAATCTATAATTTTGACTAGGTCATTATTGCGTATATTCCTTTCAATTTCTATCTCTATCAGTTTCCTTCGAAGATATCTGCCTAAAAAGCCTTTCACTGGTTCTGTGTGGTTTGCACATAGTACCCACCTACAAAAGAAAAAAGAAAAATCAGCAATCTTTATATAAATTAAATTCTAAGTCCACAGTGATTCTCTTTTCACTATAAAGTAAAAATGTTCCTATTTCAATTGGTGGCCACATTTTAATGACTAAAGGGGTTAGGAGGTTTATTAGCATTGGAGCTATAATGTAACTAACTTTTCTTTTTGAGCTAAAGAGAAGCTCATGTGCGTCAGAAGTGAGTGGGAGTGTACACGCTGAGCACTCCTCCGTAGGAGAGTCACAAATCCTGAAATAGGAACTCTCTTCATATTCCTCACACTTAGAAGAAAAGTGCTCTACTTTAGCCGGTGACATAGTGAGCAGGAAAAACATTTCTTTCTTTTTTTTTTTTTAAAGAAACACTTCTGACTACAGGTTGAGGATCACAAAATGTCTTCTTGAAAAAGAGTGTCGGAAGAAGTGAGAATTATTTTCACACCACAGGTCACCACTGGCAGGATTTGTCAATGTACAAATGGAAAAACAACAACCAAAAGCAAACAGAAAGAGTCAGTACAAAAACAAATTTCAATTTATCTTACCTGAAATTGTGATGCAGCTCTAGATTTGGTGATGAAGATACTCCCTGATTCATTGTTCCAATAATATATGGACTGGAAATAAAAAAAGAATAGAAAATAGATATTATGAACATAAAAGAGATTAATACATTAAAATTGTCTTAGAAAACAATTTAGATAAATATGGATTATTACATGTTAATACTAGGCTTTAAAAGGGTATTTTTCTAATGTTAGGTTGGAAAATGACAAAGATCATTGAACTAGAAGATTTGGGGTTCCAATTTCATCTCTGGTATCCTAGGCGAATCATTTTCCCTCTTTGAGCCTGAGTTTACTCATCCATAAAATAAAAAGTTTAGACAGAATAAGCACAGTGGTCTCATCCTACTCTAACATCTTATGACTCTTAGTTTATAATCAAATTCATCAATAATTTCCACTTTATTGTTTCATGGTTATTTTAAAGGTTCTTAATAACATCAGAGAATTTGTATTCTTGTTACAATGTTTATTTTATGCTAATCTATTTTTAACATTTTTTAAATCTCTTGCAGAGATTAATTGGAATATTGCCACCATTAAAACTAATATAATTATTATATTAGTCCTTATATGTCCTTTCTTTAGAGGCCACGCTAGAATGCATGTTAAGTGGATTTTTAGATTTTTTTATACCCTAGTTTAACTTTCTGCTTCATTGTAAATAGTTAAAAATAGACTCATTAATGGAGAGAGTTATTTCTGAATGTATTAGATTTATTGCTATAAAAGGTTGAATTTAAACTTTGATATGGACTAAGAATAAAACTAGAGCTCTAAAGTCTCATTCTAGCTCTTAATTTCCCTGCTTCAAATATTCCATCACTGAGATTGGTCTCCCAGACCTTCAGTATATCTGTAGAAGCTAACACCATCAAGTAAATCATGTTTCCATAGAAATGACGGAGACATAGTTGTTGAAGGATAAACAGATGTTCTAAGGAATACATAGGGATCTTTGGAAATATGGTATTAAATTAATAAAGGCTTCTCAAATTAATGGCATCTGTTATAGATCTTGAATAAAGGAATAAGAAAGCAAATTTGATCACCATTTTTTCACATTTCATCACTCAAAATATTTCATAAGCATACCATTTGTTGTATTTACAGTTGAGAAAACCATTGAAGATATCACTCAATGAGCCCACATGATGAAGATTATCAAGAATTATGACAACTGGGAGCTCCACGCCATTATTATCAGCACTGCACTGTTCAGCCAGGTTGGCTAGATACTGTTGCAATTCCTTTAAAAAAATGAAGAAAATAAATACCTCAATGATAAATTTATACCAGTGGCAAGTGATTCACAGTTTAGGAACAGCATATTTTGTCTTCCATCCAATGACTCTGATTAAAACTCATAGATCAATCTATTGATATAAAACCTTATTCTACAAAGTAAAAAACATATAACGCTGAAAGGATACATTTTTTAAAGGAAAGAGAAAAGCCAGTACAGAATACCTGCAGCAAATACAAATCTGTAAGCACAAAGGCATATTTTACAGTTGTTTTCTCCCCAAAAGCAAAGCAAGAAAAGACCTCTGGATGTGAGCTCTTATGATAAACCACAAATATTGAGAAGTCATTCTTGTATTTGGTATTTCAGTGATAAAAGTGTATTTTAGTAAACCTTTTAATTTCAAGTATAGACTAAATCCAAAATGGCACCCCTAAGTTTCCACTAATACTTTACATTTTAATTCCAATTAATTTCCATGAGGTGAATCTGAAAATTCAGCCCTGGGACTACGACAGAAATGAGGTTATTTATTTATTTGTTTGGTTATTTATTTATTTATAATCTGCATGCAACTGCTGTAAATTTAAACAAAGATAAAATTTGTTATATTTCACTGGGTCACTTGACATTAGTGTTTAGCATTTCTTGAGCTTCTTTGTTCTTTTATAGGTATTATTCATTTCTAATAGCTTTTAATCTAAATATGACAACCAGTTCACTGATTGACTGCTCTCACAGATGGGTAGGCCAGGAAGATAATTAGTTTCTTAGAATTATCCTAATCAGTAAGAGCATTTCCATAATATTTGCATATTTACAATGACATTTTCGATTTGTAAAACTTGCTCAGGGTTAAAAAACAATTCCATGATCCCAATTTCTGCCAGCCAGGTAAATAGATGAACCACTCACGCTAGATGAAGCCTCCCTATGTCTATAATACCACTTTTAGAACTAAAAGTAGAAAGGAGTAAACAACAACGGCCAAGATTTCGAGGTATTTAGTAATATATTCATTTAAGTTCAAATAAAAAATATATTAAAGAACTAATGCACTATTTATCTTATATTGAGCAAAGTCACATAGAATAAATATTGCCTAAATCAGAGAATACTGAAAAAATATGTTTAAACTGGAGAATAGTCTGGAGCATTTCAATTATCTTAGGAGAAAAAATGGAATTTATGTCAATAATGTAGCTATATTAAGTCACTCATTCATTTATAAAATATTCACTGTCTATCTACCATCTTCATGGCACTAGACCAAGTCTTAGGGCATACAAAAATAATGATGCATTATTCAAGTAAGTTTAACATTTATTGTGAACTGAATCAAATACTTTTCTGAGCATAGGGGTTAAAAAGGATAATCAGACTGTCTCCCCCTGCAGGCTTTGAGTTCTCACATTAGGGACTGAAATTTAAATATGATAAATCATTTGAATATAATGTCCTAGTGTATTAGGAGCTATGAGAGGTCATGGGAGAAGATTTCGCCTAGCTGGTGGGTGTCAAGGAAAGCTTTCTGGAGGAGGTAATGCCAGAGCTTGGGAGGGTAGTAGGTGCACACATAACTAATAAACTTATGAAATGCAATGTAAAACATTCCATGAGAGAGGTTAAAGGAAGGATGTGGCCTATCAGAGGGAAAATGATTAATTCCAACTGGGGAATCCTGATGGACTTCATAGGGAGATAAAATTTGAGATGGATTTTGAATAATGAGTAGAATTACAAATAGTAAGTATGTAGTTATTTATTCTTTCAACACACCTTTAGCAAGCATGTACTATGTGGCAGGTACTCTTGCATCAAGGATTCAGAGATTATTTCTATATTCCAGGAACTTAGAGTTGATAAATAGAAAGGCAGGTCAACAAGTAAAACTCCAATAGTGTTGTAAGTGAAATGCACAAAACACTATAGGGAAGCTCTTAAGTTTCCCTAACTAACACAGTCTTAAGGTTCAGAGAACAACAGGTTACAGGGCGGAGGTGGGGGGGAATTATTGAAGTTCAAGTAATAAAGAGTAAAAGCTGGAAGGTATGAGTATATGATGTATTTGAGGAAATAATAAGTGTTGTTGCAGGAGAAATGGTACATGGTAAGGTGGTCACAATGAAAGAGAAAATAGAAAAGACTTTAAATCTATGCAGAGGAATTTGGATTTTACTATAAAAACAACTGTGAACCATTGATATGTTTGTTTTTCAGTAGAGGAGAGCAATTTATTTATGAAATGTGAAGGATATGATGAAGAATTAGAAATGGAAAAAGCATTCAAGAAGCATACTGCTCAGAATCGAAGGTTAAGCACATATAACTATGACTATAATTCACAATAAAAAATAATACAGTACTTCAAAAACCTATACAGTAAAGATTTTGTTCAGAGCCTATAGAGACTACTTGTAGCTGCTCAGAAAGACATTCTGGTGGCAGTATTATTTTCTAATAACCCTTTATTTTTAAGATTAGGTAATGTTTTGATGCTTAAACATGGAAGAAGAGCTTTCCAAATAGAGGGAGAAGAACAAACAAAGGCAGAAACACAAAAATATGATATTCATGCAGGAAAGAACTAGTAATGTATGTTTTGTCAATATAAATAGTGGTAAATAAATTGGAAAGAAAAGTTTGCAACCTTAAATAATTGGTAAGGTTCCTGGACTTTTCCTATTGGTAAGGAAGAAACATGGAATGTACAGGGAATATGAATAACGCAGTCAGAATCATGACTTCAAAGAGTGATAAGTATATTGTAAAGAAGGAAGAAAAACCAGTCAAGAGGATACTGAAATTATTGAAGCCATGAGATACTATGGGACTCAATAGGGATAGAAGTGCGGGAAGATTTTTGATCTAGTGCAAGAAAGTAATGGGAAAACATTGCAAAATTTTAATGTGGTCAGATTTTAATTATGAAAAGATAGTCTATGTTCCATGAAGTGAAAGAAGAAAGACAGGACGAGAGGGAAGGGAAATTTAATGGAAGTTGTGAATCAAGCAGTTAGAAAACAATTGCTATAGTCCAATTGATAGAGTGTTAATCTGGGGGAAGTGGTGGTAGTAAAGATAGATGGAAGATGGATTTATGATATAATTCAGAGTTGAAATTACCATTCCTAGACATGTATATTTATGTTAATAGAAACATATTTGTAAGCTAATAGAAAGGTTGACTATATGGGAGATTAGGCATGGCTAACAGTATCCAGTTGGAGTCCACACAGGATGAAAGCAGGGGAGTCATCCAGATGAGACCAGAAGTGGGAGAGAACAGAATGTTGGGGAATATTTTCATCTACTGGTAGGTGAAGAAAGAGAGCAGTGAGTGAAAGAGACTGAGAAGGAGCTTACTAGAGAGTAGGGAAGAAGCAAGGAGAGAATGATAATCATGCAAATTAGAAGAATTTCTAGAAAGGGGAGATCAATTATAGGAATTTGCTATACATAAGCAAAAAAAGAGAGAGAGAGAGAGAATGAGAGAGAGAAAAGAAGCAAAGGGCATTGAATTTGGTAATTAAGAAATGACTGGGAGATCATTGGAAAAGTAGGGACGGTAGATTCTAGTATGGGTCTCTCATCTTGAGAAGGGTGGGAGATCCTTCTGGGAATGTAATGAAAGCTATGGAGCAGTCACAAGTAGAAATAGGCATACACAAACAGTTGTGTCAAATAACTCAAGAGTTTTTCTGAGACCCCTTTAAAATCATGATTTCCCTATCCCCATTCTAGCTTAATTGTGGTAAAACCTTAGATTGAAGTATTGATGCCTTAGCATTAAAAGTTTCATGGCCAAGATTAATCAGTAGAAGAAAAGAGGTATATCTACCAGATGGACATTGATAGTGAGACAAATCCCATAGTCTGAAAATATGCACGGAACACAGCAGTTATATAAAAACTGTTGATCATTGCTTTCTCTGGTTTTGACTCTAGACACACTATAAATGAATCTGCCAAGTCCAGTTTTCTGATCTTTTCAGCCTAACATTCCAAGTGGCTTCAGCTGGCCACATATTCTTTACCAAATCCATCTCTGGCTTCTGGGCCCGCTGCATCAAATGTCACAAATGTAATTGTTTATGTTTACTGCTCTCAATCAAAATATTTCAGCTGGCAGCTTGAGGGAGGGCTTGAAGAGTGGAAGAGGGACAGAATGGAAAATGCAGAGGTACCAAAAGCATGGAATGATATTTTTTTTCATTTGATGGTTTATTGTTCAATGATTTTGAATCATAAGTCCTTTTCTGGCTATCTCTTCAGTGCTATCTATGGCATTGCATAAAGCACGTCAACAATTACACAGCTCCGTTTCTCAGGGAAATGATTTGTTCTTTCATGCATCATTCACACTTTACTTTAGTAAGTGTACAGTGTTAGCAGCTATCCCTCACACAATCTCAACTTGTCATCCCTATTCCTTTATGCCATTCTCACTTACCACCCCCACCAAAAAAAGAAAAAAAACTAGTGTTGATTCTCTGACAATTTGGCAAGAATTGGCCAAATTCTCTGGCAACAACTCTGTATCCAACATTACTGACAGCTCATTCACATCCTACAAACATGAAGAATTAATAAACATTCGTTTGTTGTATTTTGTGTTTTCTTGATGCCGAATGCCATGTGATTTGTCCAAGGGTTTCTTCCTATTACTGTTTCCTAGCATCATTAGTTCTGTCCAAACACTCTAGTCAATGTTTTATTTTTCATTATTTTGTAATAACAAAAATTAAACTGACCTAATAATGGCACAAGTTATTTTATTCTGAAAAGGTAGAAAATTAGAGTGTTGGAAATATTGATCAAAAAAATTTAATGATACTCATATGATATTGATTAAAAACATCTCTGAGCACTAAACATTTTTTAACTGAAATGAAAAGAACTTAGAGAGGCAAATTTTATAATCAATGTAAATTAACCTACTTTATTTTAGCATGTTAAACTACATCCTAATGAAGCCCAAATCAATCTGTTTGATTCAAAACTTGATTTTAAGTGATTTCCAACTTTATCAAAATGCCTTGGTTTTCATTAATAAATCTACTCTTCTCCTATTTTCCAATCACTTGTTTTCTCATAAAGGAAGTAACTTCTAAAGAGTTCCGTTACATCAACATTGAGGAAAAACCAAGAATACTGAAGATGATTAAGAGACATCAACCCTTTCACCATTTTGGCTGAAAAGAAGAAGAATTGTGTTAAAAATATTTAAATAAAGATATGAGGAGACCCAGAATTAACAGGAGGTATTAAACATGTGGGCTGAAGCAAACCAACAATTGTGGTCTTCCCACTTCTGCTCAGAGAGGAGTCAAATACTCTACCTTAGGTTCCATGTCTCTCTAGTTGAAATGAAAATGAGTGGTTCAATTACAATTCGAATAGGGCTGAGTTCCAAGGAAATATTCAGAATTTGTGTGCTATATTTATTTGACTTTATAAGATGTCTCATCACGCTTTATACACATCTTTGTTCTCTTATAAAACTTCAAATAAGACCATTTTCAACAAAGGTCTTTGTGAGTGTGTGTGTGTGTGTGTGTGTGTAGAGGGAGTTGTCTGTATGGGTCTCGTGTATTTGTGTAGGAAACTTTCTTGGGAGTAAAGGGCTGTAATTAATAACTGCAGACAACACACTGTGTGTGCTACTTGTACTATTTTCTCTCCCTCTCTCCCTTCTCCCTACTTTCTCCTCTCTCTCTCTCTCGCACACACACACACACACACACTCATTTAGTCCTTGCCACAACCCTACTATTTTTTCATTTTACAGTGGGGAAAACTAAGGCACAAGGAAATGCAGCGATTGACCTCCGATGCCACAGTTGGTCAGTGAGAGGGAGTTAATGAACCGCTCTATTAAGAAGTTTTTGTTCACTAAGCTATCTATCTGGCTTATTTCAAGAATCCAATAAGCTTGGGCTGCTTTGGGGAGTCATGTTAATTTCTGAAAATTTACAAGCCAGAGGTTTCTGAGAGACTGCATCTGTTCAGATCATCTAACTAGGTTATCTTCAGAAAAATAAAATGACCCAGTATCATCTGGATTCCCTCAAGGTATTGTTTATAACAGATGCAGTTTCCTAAGAGAAACAGGTTGAATTGATTGAGAATGTAATAGATAATTGTGGGCAAAAATAGGCTAGTGTTAAGAATATGTTAGCCATCAACTATTTCCTTTTTAGGATTCTTTATTTTACTCAGAATATAGGAAAGTATTGTCTAGGTTTTATAGCCCCTCAAGCCTATTTAATAGCAGTAGAGTGTTCAGGCTGATTATTATGTTACACTAGAACTTAGCTGATGTTGAAATAGAACATTGTTCACTTTCCTATGGTTCCTAAGCAGGAATTCTTTAGAAATATGATGTAAGAAAATTGCTGCTCCCAGAATTTCTGCCTGGAATATTCTAATTATGCCCAAATCCCCATTGCTGCAACACCCTAGTTAATTCCTACTTATTTACTAAGATCCAGATCAAGAATTGCCTTTTTATAAAGCTCTGATTCCTCCAGGAAGGGTTATTCTTCCCTCTTGCTTTTAGAGCACTTTGCATGGATCCTTTCTGCTCTAACACTTCCTAAATGGAAGTCTAAGAGAAATCAGACATTAGAGACTCTATCATTTTCTTTTGTACATTCTCAATGCTTGTGGAGTACCTGATAACTAAATGCTATTGAACAGCAGTGTTGTTCAAATTCATGAAACAGAGTTTAGTCATCCACCAGATTCTAGTTTTAGTAAGAGAGATGGCTATGTCTCCACGTGCAACATGGAAGTTTCACACAATCTTAAATCTTAATTGCTTAAGACACTTATGCATAAATAGCAGCAGTTCTCTTAGGAGTTTGTGACTTACCTTACTTGACTTGTGGTCCACATTAAAAGTGGCAATTGCATCCTCTGTTTTTTTCCTCCCAGATTTGGTTATTACGTATTCAGCAAGTTTGTTCGCTAAATAGGTCTTTCCTGTACCACTTGGTCCCGAAAGTATAATTCTGTGATGCTCCATCAACAAATTAAAATACCTTTGGGTAATTGGTTTAGGAATCAGCGTATCAAAAACAAAGCTGTCCAAACTGTTTTCTTCTACCCCTGAAGGAAGAAACAGAGGGAATAGCATGCCTTATTGTTCTACATAAGGTAGATTTTAAAATATGGTGTCAATCGACAACAGAGCTTCATTAGTTACAGGAATGCAGTCCTTGCAAAATCCTTTACTTGATATTTCTACCCCACAAACATGTGCTGCCATTTTAAGATAGAAAATGTCAGTAATAAGGCAGAATGGACATCCAAATGAAAGCATTTTCTCTAGCTCTGGCTTCCCTCCACTGTCCACTTCATGCTCCGCACTTATGTTTCCAGAGAGAGAAATGGAAACATTACTATAAATTCTATCATAAAATCTTCCTTACCTTTGAAGGCAGTAGTTTTGTTAAGAATAAATGTAAAGATTATAATGTAAAATATATATGTGTGTCTATGTTCTTCCTGTTTTCTTACTCTTTTCTCCACTTTATTTTCTCCTCTCTCTCATTACACATCCCAGCTGTACAGCCACCTAAGCTTTTGAAGAATACTAATTGTGATATTTGACAAGGAATTAAGAAGATCAACAGTACCTCCTTTTACTAACCCAATTACCTTAATCATAAAGTCAAATTTTGACAAATTCATCTATTAGTCCATAGTTTACATAGATGTGTTCTGAGTCTTTAACATATATGAGCAAGGAATTATGGAGACAAACATACTTTAGATATTCTATTTGCCTATAATTAATCACATCATCCAAAGCAAAGAAAACAGAATTTCTCATCCCTGATCTTAACTTCCATTCTTTATCCCTAGTGGGTATTTCTTGGGTATACATGTTTTAAAATCAAAGATATAGAGATGAATATATTACTTTGAAATATATAATAATTTTTTGAATCCCACCTAAATAAAAGGTGATAATGGAGAACCTAGAAATTTGAAATTCCCTAAATTGTATTCTGTTTTGCGAGTTTTGGAGAATCGTCAAAATTACATTCCATTTCACATTCTAAAACTCAAAGAATTTCATTTACTTGGATTTCAATGTTTTTTAGCAGGATTTTAGTGTTTTAAATATAAATATGACTCATTTAATACCATCATACCATTTCAAAACTATTAAAGTGGTTAACATAGTTTTCAAATATGAAAATTTGAAGGGAAACTGCAAAAGAAAAGAAAAGAAATGTTGGTAAAAAAAAATACAACTGTGCTTTTCATTTTCATCTTTACCTTTCAGGTTCACAGTGATGATGTTATTATCTCCAACAAGGTATCCACAAGGCAGCAGTTCAGGCACTTCTAAGCTATGAGATCTAATTAAATCTCCTATACAGTAGCTAGCAATGCAGTCAGAGCTCAGACCAAGACTAGAGGATGTATCAATTCGAAACACATATTCCTAAAATGGTACATGTGAAAAAGGAAAGTCAAAACAGAGGTTCAACTCATCTACAACAAATACAAAACTCCTGAGGATTTGAAGTTAGCTGTCAAGAATTTTAGAAATGAGTAATATAAGAACTATTAATATCAAACAGCACAAAGAGAGAAAGCTTTCCTTCATATTTGAAATGGAGGAGAAGAAAAGTAGATATGTCTATGCTAGTAAAGCTAAGGGAAGCATCTAAAATTAAACATTTTTGAAAATCAATATTAGGATTTCATACACAACTTACCTTAAAGAGACGTCTAATTACACCATCTAAGACATCCCACTTGGTTTTTCCACTAACACCAATGGATCCTATCAAATATGCCTGAGACTTCTGATCCTAAAAAAGAACAAAATAAAACAAGATAAAATCTAACTATGTGTCTTGTTTTATTACTGCATTTTCTACTAAAACTTATTAATGTAGTGGTGATTAAGATTAAAATGCTTATCAGGCCTATGAGTTCTACAGTAACAGACACACATTGGATTATATAAAATAAAACATACTTCCAAAATTTAACCAACCAACCAACCAAAGTAACAGCAATAGCAACAACAAGAAGAAAGAGAGAGATTAGGTGAAGTGATAATGTCAAGGTAAACTGACTCATAACCTGTTCAGTAGAAGGGAAAGGGCTGGGAGGGAAGAGTCATCTGTTTTCATGCAGGGGTGCATTTCTGAAGAGAAGTATCTTGGTAGGAGGGAAATGGTGATAGAGACTGAACAGAACCATACCATATAAATCCTGCAACTTCATCTTACTATTTTTGTGACCTTATCTTTCTTTTTTTTTTTTTAATTTTTATTTTTTTGGGATGTACATCATATTTCAAATTCTGGATACATTATATCATGTTCACCACCGGAACACTAATTATAGTGCATCCCCTCACATATGACCCTAATCACCCCTTTTGCCCTCCCCCCCGCTTCCCCAATGGTGACCACCTGTCCAATCTCCAATGCTATGTGGTTTGTTTTTTTTTTTTGTCATTTTTGTCTTCTACTTATGAGTGAGATCATATGGTATTTGACTTTCTCCCTCTGACTTATTTCTCTCAGCATAATACCCTCAAGGTCCATCCATGTTGTCACAAATGGCTGGATTTTGTCATTTCTTATGGCTGAGTAGTAGTCCATTGTGTATAAATACCACATTTTCTTTATCCATTCGTCCCTTGATGGGCACCTAGGTTGCTTCCAAGTCTTGGCTATTGTGTATAATGCCGCAATGAATATAGGGGTGCAAGTATCTTTATGCCTTTGTGTTTTCAAGTTCTTTGGATAAATACCCAGCAGTGGAATAGCTGGATCATATGGTAGATCTATCCTTAACTTTCTGAGGATACTCCAGACTGCTTTCCATAGTGGCTGCACCAGTTTGCACTGCTACCAACAGTGAACAAGGGTTCCCTTCTCTCCACACCCTCTCCAACATTTGTTGTTTCCTGTCTTGTTAATTATAGCCATTCTGACTTTATCTTTCTTAAGCCAAAAACTCAGTTTTTCATTTATTAACTTACATTATCTCTAAAATACAATCCAGTTTTAAAAAGTAAGTTATCTGTGGTTGTATGGCATTCACATATTCACAAAATAGGCTCCATTTTGAATTTATCAGAAAATTCACTATTTAAAAAAACTTGCCAGGACATTCCACAGGCATCATTTTATCAAGCAAAGAATCTCTTTACAATACAAATAATTGCCCCAAATTTATCTTTCTTTGTCAGATGGGATTTTGAGGAATTTCTACATATATTAGAAAAGTAAACAATTCAAGATTTATAGTCTAACTGGAACTTCTTTTATGACAATTGGAAATGGTTACGTGAAATAGTGCATGATGCCAGTGGATATAATTAGGTAGTTGATACATTACAATCCTGGTTCTAGTCACCAACTGCATGGTCCTTAAGAGGTGGTAGAATAATAACTGAGTCAGGTATTAGAAGACATGGATTCTACAACACGCAACATCTATCACCTAATTAAGAAATGTGACCCAAGGTAAGTCAGTTAGCTGTCTCAGAGCCTCGATTTCTTCATCAGTAACATTTAAGTCTATAAGGGTAAATGATTATCACCATTATTTAAATATAACCTGAATTAGAAGGCAATATTTTTTCAGAAAAAGTTGAGAAATTCACAGCAAAATCATTGTGATTTTGTTACTATTGTTATGAATTGAATGGTTGTGTCTCCTGAAAATCTATACATTAAAGTCATAACCCTCAAGATGATGGTATTTGGAAAAGAGGCCTGTAGAAGGTAATTAGATTAGCTCATTAGAGTAGGGGCTCTTACGATGGGATTAGTGGCCTCATAAGTAGGGGAAGAGAGAGAGAGCTCTGGTATACACAGTGACAAAAGGTCATGTGAGGACATAGCAAGAAGGTGGCCACCTGCAACCCAAGGAGAGAGCCCTCACCAGGGACTAAATCAGCTGGCACCTTGATCTTGGACTTCAGAACTGTGAGAAAATAAACTTCTGTTGGTTAAGCCACTTGATTTATCGTATTCTGTTATGGCAGGCCAAGAAGACTAAGACACCTACTTTCAATGTTCAAAGACATTGTCTTTTAGAATTATTTTGGAAAAGAAAACTTATTTTCCCCTGTTACTGTCATCCAGTCAAAATGGGACACTCACGCAATGTTTGGTAAGCAGCTGCTTTTAAATTAGAGATAGTTTAATCTTCACCGAGACTACCAGTCTTTTGCCTAAAGATGCACATGAAAAAAGCAGACATAAATCTGCAGCTCAAGCAGGAAGTTTATGGCGTTAGAATCCTTGGAATACTGCTCAGTGTAAAAATTCACAAGCACTATCTCACTTCTCAAATGTAAATGCTTCAATTATTTTAAAATTCTAAGGGATTTTTTGTTTTTCTGTGTGATAGAAAAAAATTTGGGTACTTACAAATTTGTATTCTTGCCACTCATCTACAAATTCAGCTTGAAATAACATTTTTAGTTTTAAGAAAGGGCTTGAGTCAGAATGACATTGCCAGTTTGAAGGCAATACTTGATTCCAGAAAAATTAAAATACTTGCCTTATACTTGCTTAAAAATGATACAGATAAGTAGCATCAGTGGAATTTGTCATATTGAATTCAGAATAACACGTGTCTTTCCAATGTCTAGAATATTCATATAGCTTATTAGTCTCTTCTTTGTATAGAGACCATATTGACACCTCTAGCAACATGTTACTACACATTATAAATATCACCTATATTTTGCAAGTGACACTGAAAGAATGTGTTAGACATGGTGTTTACCTCAAAGAAAGCAATGTATTTTTTAAGTTTTAGAAATGAGTGTGGCTAAGAACCAAAATTGTTTTCAGTGAACCAACATGACATCTAGAGATACATTTCCACTTATATCATGATGTCATTTCCTTGGGTTCCTAACTTTTATGCTTTTATAGCATATTAAGCTAATGCCAAGACAAATACTGCTGAGCAGTAACAAGTAGTGTACTTAATCAGAACAAAAATTCAAATATAAAACACATTAGATTCATGGTCATTCTCATCCTTTAGTCAGAACTTAAGATTAAGGAAATACCTTTGCTCGACCGTAGCCCTTGCTGATGGAGACTATAATTTTCACACTGCGGCCATCTTTATGTCCAGTTGCATCACCAGCATCATCTAGCAAGATATCTACCAAATTTTCAAAAATGCACACAAACACACACACAATAGAGACAAATTAGCTCAGATTTTTTACTGTCATTGTTTTCTTTCTCATAATTTTATATCTTTCAATGGAAATTTAGCCTTTCTACTTCCCATCCTAGCCTAACAGGTTTGAAAAAAATCAGCTTTCAAGAAGATGAATTACTGTGGTTGGGTTAAAGTTTCAATCTAGGAATTTATTTCTTCCTCCAAGCATCTTCACCCAAGTGTTGGTCCATTGCTTTTAAATGAGGAGAAACAGGTTTCTTTTTCTATTATGCACAGATATGAGTAATACCTGAATAATATTCAGTTACCATTAAAACCATGACAAACAAAAAAGCAATCTGATTTTTCTATCTAAACTAAAATATCCAGGCTCAATACCCATGTAATTTATGGATGCAAAGGTGCTGAGATTGACTGTCAACTGAAATTATTTTCAAGCATTTGCAGATATCCAGCTATATTACTTCTTACTTTATATATAAGTAATTATTAGGTACTTTTAGTGAATTTCAACTATGGCATTTATACTTCCCTACCGAAGTATATTAATTATCACTCTTTTGTACCCTTTATGCTTATGGTCTCAAAACCAAAGTAGTATTTCCAGTCATCAGCTAAGAGTTACAGAGATAGGATAAAGGTGGCTGACCTTTAAAGCACAAGCCTTTAAATGCAATTATAGATTAATTTTCAGAATATATTATATGAGATTCATGTCCAATTTGGAGAAGTATTGAGGCAAACTATCACAAATATAAGTTTTCCTTTGACAACGATGTTATTATTGAGCCATGTTTAATACGAACATGGTGTTCTGAGGACAAAGGAAACTCAGTTACATGCTGAAGAGCAGGTGTGCCTGGTGACGAGAGCACTCAACTGCTCTGCCTGTAAATATATAGAGACAAGAGCTGTGACTACCATCAGAGAAAAACAATTTAATCAAATGGCTTCTGAAAATGGAATGTTTCTATTATCTTAATTAAGAATACGCAATTTCACAAAGGAAGGATTAAAAAAGCGTCCTAAGACATAACAATCAAAACAACATTTAGAGTTTGAGGAATATGAAGATTTTCACTAGAATTTTTAAATCGTCAAAAACAATCTCCCTTACTGGAATTTAATTAGTTTCCCAGATTAACACCCTCATAATCTCTCACATTTTTGCCTATCCCACTGAAAATTTAAACTCTTCCTTAAGTGTCATTTTAATTTTAATTCTCTTCCTCTTTTTCTCAGGAGTTTACAGTAGCTTACTGCTGGTTGTTCACATCTAAATTTCTTGTAGTTCGTGACCAAATTACCTCTTTAGTACTCAACTATTCATAAATGTTCATAAATATTCCAAAAATATTTATTAAGCATAAAAGATATCAGGAACTGTGCTGGGCATTGGGAATGAATACCAAAGTGCAAGGAAAATGAATTCCGTGCTCTTTTGGGGTATACATTCTCAACAAGGTAATTACAGAATATCTTTTTTTTTTTGAGGAACATTAGCCCAGAGCTAACTACTGACAATCCTCCTCTTTTTGCTGAGGAAGACTGGCCCTGAGCTAACATCCATGCCCATCTTCCTCTATATTATATGTGGGACACCTACCACAGCATGGCTTGCTAAGCAGTGCCATGTCTACACCAGGGATCTGAAACGGCGAACCCCAGGCCGCCCGAGTAGCATGCGCACTTAACAGTTGTACCATCGGGCTGGCCCCCAGAATGTCTTAAGTGTAAGAAATAAATGGCACAGGGCAGTGGGCAGTGAAATACAGTAACTGAAGGGAGCCTCCTCTAGACAGAGGTCCTCCTGGAAGGCTTCCTTGAGGAGATGGTGTTTGGAGATAAGACCAGGAGGCTAAGAAGTGCTATGTGCATGAAGACCTAGGAAAAAAGATCCAGTCAACAAGAATAAATGCAAAAGCCTTGATGAAAGAGCTAGGCCTGTCCAAGGAACAGATAAATATTCAGGGTGGCAGGAGTGTGGAGACCAAGAGAAGAGTGGAAAGTGGTATGAAGCATGTCGAAGTGGGTAAGGGCTAGATCATGTATGACCTGGTAGTCCACAACAAGGCGTTTAATCTGATTTCTGATCCACTTATCTGGTCAAGTTTGCCTTAGAACATGTTATGCATTTCATGTCATGCTTATTCTTAAACTATGCATAAAATAAGAATTTTCTCTGTACAGCAGTGGGGTGAATATTTATCAATAAATGAGTTAATGACTGTCTTTGGCTCTCACATATGTGGCTACTTAAAGCAAAATGAATACAGTAGTTAACAGGTCAGGCCCTGGATTCATCCAGACCTGGGTTCAAATATTAGCTCTGTCATTTACTAGTTACAGGATCTTGAAGAAATTATTATAGTCACTTCCCCAAGTCTTGGTTTCCTCATGTGTAATATGGGCGTCAAACAGCACCTGCTTCATAGAGATATTGAGGATATAAGAGAGAATGCTTTTACAGCACTTTCTCCTCAGTGTTCAGCACGTTTAGCTGTTCTAACCAATATTCCATTTCTCTGTGTGTTTATTTGAACTCCATTTTTTGACAGGGGAAGAAGCACATCATGGCCACTGAATCTCCCCCTGTTCACAGTACATTGATATGATTACCTGAAGAAACAATTCCAAGAAAAGAGGAAAAAGAGCAAGTTTGAGGTGAGGGTCCTCTGTGGTTTTTATGGAAAATAAGTTATGTTATTTAACATTTTGAAGGAAGAATAAGGAGATCTGCCATTCTGGTTACAATCGAGTGAAATTCTAACAAAAGTCTGAAGGCTTTTCAGACTTCTGTTTTTACTGGATGTATGGAACATACAGTTATCTCTCAGGGACTGGACATTCACCAATTATCCTCTCTTCTGTTTACTTCTTTCCTTTTTTTAATTAATCATGAACCATAGAAAATTTTTCTGTTAAAAAACCCAAGCATAAAGGTACTTTTGAACTCCAATTTGGAACCTACTAAAAAAGAGTGAAGACAAAGAAAACAGTAAACTCGTCCTGTGATTTTGTTGTTGTTGTTAGTTCCTATACAAGTATCATTATTGAAAAATAATTAAGGAAATAAAATGATATAAGACTAAAAATAAATGATGAACTAGGTAATTAAAAAGCACATTTAAAAAAAAAAATCTTAAAAATTGCTCTCCTCCCCTAAATTGCCCCAAATTCTCAATCATGGCCGTTAGTGTGTTCAGTCTGATGAACAAAGAAATTGTAAATTTGATTTCTTTGATTTTATGTTTATCTTTATGAGTTCTAATTTTTCCTAGACGTGAATTTTAGTTTTATTTTATATGGCAGTTCTTTCTAAACTACCTTCAGTACTAACCTTGCCTCCTTCAAACCTTATCATATTTATACTTCATAGGATAAGACAAAATCAAGGAACAGGCACGGAATCGTGTGAGTAAGCCATCTGTAGGGCCCCAGCCCCTGCCTTTGTTTAGGAGTTAAGCCCGGGGACACAGACACGCATTGCCAGCCATCAGGTGTGGTTCCTACTTCACTTTGCTGTCGGCTTCACCGCTGACCACAACAGACAGCATATTGCCCGGGCTTCTCAGATTCTACACATTCAAACTATTTGTTTTTTCTTTTTTAGAATCTTTTGAAGAGTGTGGATGCTAACACCTTGCACAAAATTCACACTTTCAAGTTATAACCACATTTCCATAATTTTATTTTACCTAATAATCTGTAAATTCATTTAATTCTGAAATCTCTCTTCTTTCTTGGCTACTAATATTAGCTTTACTTGGTGTTTACTCTCAGAATTTATTTCCCTCCCCTAATCCTGACCAAATTTTATAAACATTGTTTCCCTCGATTTCAGGGAGTTCCCACTTGCCATTTATAAGAAGAAGGCAAGTATATTTGGGTCATTCATTTTACATTATGAAGGGCAGACATAACAGGAGAATATTAAGAACTCTGACTTTTTAGAAGCAAGAGATGTGATTCATTGAAGATGTCATCAATATTGACATGCCGTGCCATTTTTCTTCTTCATTTTTGTCTTCGAATTCTCCTATTTGCAGTGTATTTTAAGGCAAGGAGTGAAGTTTGTCACGTCTATAATGGAATCCAAAGTTACCCAGCAATATGTATATTATTGGTTTCCAAGCGTCATCTGGTGGCTGTGCTTTGAAATTACCACAGATCCTCACGTAAATCTTTCCCAAACTAAATTCTATACATAAAATGATTCAATGCCATAGGAGGAGTTATACTTTATAATTGACTAGTTCATCACATATTAAGACAACATCATGTCATGTGATTCTATTTGCAACTGAATCAAAACTGTACCCTTGTTCCATCACTAGGACCACTGAATACAACAATAGTGTGTTCTTTTTGTTTGTTTGTTGAAAATTTAATAGAGCTGCAGATTGGGTGATGGATAGCAGTATGTTCTCCCTGGGCAAGATCATCCAGTCAAATCTGGAATAGGTCCTGATACATTCTAAATACGCTCTATACACTTACAATACTATAAAACCACATGGGGTTATTAGTATTATATTCAGGAGTACTAATAATCATCACTGAGAATATTATTTCTTCATTCTATTTGTAATCATGGAGAAAGAACATTTCAAGAACAAGTAATTTTTTTTAAAAATGATATGAAAATCACATCTCTTAAGTCTTTCACAGAGAATATTCCTTTAAAATTATAACTAAGTAGGATAAATTTTTAAGAGGAAAGTAGGACTACTTCTGAGAACTAGAGTGTTAACATTTTTAAGAGGGTGTGCGTGAGAGGGGAGGGTGAGTTTCTCCCAATTTCAGGCCCCCCTCATTAAGTCACAGGCATGCTTTGACTCGGCAGGTATGTGCACAGAATCACCTGAGGTAACAGACTCCGTGATGTTCAAGTTGTTTAGAGAAAGCCCTAAGGACTGCCGTGAAGACGAGGAGGACGTGCTGCTTGAGGACTCTGACGGGGGCCGAGCAGGCTTGGCCGTGTTGCCAGTTTCCGCCTTCAACCGGTCATTTTCAGCCTTCAGGATTTCAATTTCATTCTGTTGCGAAGACGAACAACATGAAAAAAATTTGAGCTAGTTTGAGAAAATGGTACCAACTCTTCTATCAGAGTTCATTATTTTGCTTACTAAATAAAGCATGTGGTGATATGTTAAATGCAAATTATGTAAACAGAATTTCCTTCCAAAAAAGGAAAGTTAACCTTTTTGCCATCTCTCACAAACATACACTCATGTATTCACAAATATAGACACACTAACTATTAGAATTTCTTATAATTATTTTTTTAATATATCATATATTTGAGTTTTCCAGGACTTGGTCTCATTTGAATTAAGAATAATATAATTGAAGAGTTCATAACATTTCTCATTTTAAAAGTATTGTTAAAACCTCATAGGCCAATAATGTCATTTGCAATACTCTGAATCCATGGGGAGTGTAAAATAGAGCCAAATAAAAACAATATAAATAAGGTGGTTTCAAATTACTTCAGAGTCCCAGGTAACATCTGAAAGTTTTTGTTCCTTCAAAATGGGGCATTAAGCTCATAACAACAAGAGCCTTTTGATGAATACATACGGTGGCAGATGAATCTGCTCAGCAACAAGCTTTTCTTATTTCAGTCATCTGTGGTTCCAAGTGATTACCGGTTTACAATAATAAAATGAAAACTTAGTCTGAGCACAGACTGGGGCTGAATTTAGCCTTCAGATGCTTCCCCAAAATACAAAAGCTTTACTTTTACAGATGGCATTCTACATCACTTTTACTTTCCTATGTGGAAAGCTTGTGTGACTTTTCTGTAGTTTTCTCATTACTTTTGTTGTTCAGTAGAAAACAAGTAAAGGTATTTGAGTCGGATTTCAAAAGAACAGAAAAAAAGTCAACAAAAAGGTAAATCGTGGAAAAGTGAAGAAGCAGGGATTGTTGTGGTTCTAAAAACTTAGCTCTCAAGGGCATCCAATCACTGGTACAAGTGCTCTGAATGTCCCTTGAGTGGAACTGGCTAGTCTGCCCTCCTTCCAACCCTGGATTTAACAAAATTCTCCATTTGGCATAAAGAAATGAGTTGCAAAGATTGAATAAACACAGTCCATTTCCATGGTAGGTTTAAAAGTGAGATTTGTTTTTATAATGACCAAAAGAAGAAAATAAATGGCATTTCTAATCTCTCCTGTTTGTTCCTTGAAAGTACTGCAGCGCGGACCTGCATCCGGTTCATGGCTTCCCGGATCTGGTCAAGATGATGAGCAGAGCTGAGGGCCTCCAGCCGAATATCCGTTAATTTCAATTCCTTTTCTCTGAGCTCGCTCTTCAGCTGCAGAATTATCTCTGCCTCAGCCTCTGTGCACTCACAGATCCTGAAGAAGGAAACAAACACACAATCAGCGGTCAGGGAAGCCAGGGGATTAGAAAAGCAACGCTTCTTTGAAAGGCTGAACGGCAATATTATCCAGCAGGTACAGAAATTATTTGCTGCTGGCAGAACCTAGAGAAATGGAGAAAGAGTTTTACAGACAGTAATACATTCACAGGTTCCAAACTGAAAATAGTCACTGTCTTTTTCATTTAATCCTTTCTTCCTATTTTCTGAAGTTTAAAACAATCTATTTTTACAGAATACAAAGTGATCCTCAAAATTTCATGGTTGCTGATATTTATGGGGCTGAAGGGTCAGAGTATTACTACATCTCATTCTGCCATTTTTTCACGGGACTTAAATCTCTATTTGCAACATGTGAAATATTTTTAAAGCAAAATTATGGCCTTAAGATGCTGATTTCTTCTTTTGTAAAATTGTTCAAAGAATAACCTTGCTTGCCAAAACAGTGTCTTCAAGTCACCATGAAAATCCAATATAAATATTGTAGAAAATAAATCAGAGAGATTCGTTTTGGACATTTAAATAATGGATGAGTGTTATATAATCGGCCTGGTAGGCTCGGCTGATGTAAGAGATCACAGCTAATAAGCCTAAATCACAGGTTTCAACTCATACAAGCAGGCCAGTTGGGGGCTGCTTGAAGCTCATATGCATTACATCCTTATGGTTTTATTGTTGTTCTGTGGACAGCTTTGTAGGAAATATGTCAAAAGACTTTGTCTCTTATAAACTAAAATATTTTCTATTTACAAGTGAGGATTATGTTGCTGGTCACAAAATGATAGTGCTACGTTCTTCCTATATGAGTCATGAAATTAGATAACAAGATGTACAAGCATCTTGAATGTTCCTGTTAGTGGTCCTGTTGTATACAATAGTTCTATGCTAGTCATTGTCATGCGCATATAGGAAACCTGATCTAAATGGTACATAAAACAAAGAGAATCATCTCATCAGAACACATGCTCCTACATTCTAAATGTTTTATTCTTTCTTGTAGCATCAAATAATGGACTATTATAAAAATGTTATGCTAGATTATCTAATAGAATTAAAGAAAAATGGATTGCAGTTTGATTTTAGGAAAGAAAATTTTACTCCGTAAACAGAAAGAGAAGGTTTTTATTGTTGAAATGCATGCGAGTGATTTTAGAAAAAGCAAAAGCAAACACTGCTCAGGTTAGAAGCCGGATCGGGCAGTTGGCATGCGTCACACTCCATTTTACCGGGATCTGTGCTTGTAGATCACAGGGCCATTTTGCCGTTTCTTTGGTGGCCAGACAAAGGGTGACCTGCATTTAATGCACAGTTAGACAGAGACATGGACAAATGCACGTGAAAAGAAGTGAGAATAATGATTTAGAAAAGTGGAGAACGAGATCAAGAAACACTCAAATTCTAATTTATGAAAAACAAAAACAAAAGAGAAACAGATGCTGTCTGCCGTTCTCAGGAAGATACGCAAATAACTGGCACAGAGACGGCGCTGCAGTTGTGCAAGTACAACCCGATGACATTGAGAACACAAAGACAGGCTTGGCCTGAAGTCGTCTTTAAAAATAAAAACTTCTTCAGCACTCTGCAGAGGGAGTGACTTACGCTGAGGCAGACTGCGACGGTTTCATGGACGCGGATCCACAGGCACCAGCGTTATGGGGCAACTTGGGGGACGCTGGAAGAGACGAGTCAGTCAGCTCCTCGATGTCTGAATGTGAGGAGGGAGGTTTGGTGGACTTTTTCTTCCCAAAGGCTTGTTTGAATGAGCTCCTCAGCTGGAAGAAGGACAGAAATTACCTTTCTTGTCTATTTGCACTTGGAGAGCTCGGCTTTGGGGCGTTAGTTTGCAGGTGCCATCCTAGCCACTGCCTGGGGTCAGTATGTATAAGCAGAGTATTAACAGTCGCAGCACAGTATCGCTAAAAATAATGATACCGTGTTTTGTGTTTTTGTTTTATTCTTGTATTAATCCAGCGCAGCACAAACATGGAAGGCTTTTAAATAGTGCAGGGTCAAGGGCACGGCTGTCAGAGCACTCATTTAAAACTAAGTACCTTGAAGGGATCTCCATTCCCAATGCTTCTCTCTTCAAGGCAATTTGTTTTAAATGGCCACTTTAGCGCTACAATCAAGTCATGTCCCACTGACAGTATAAACTTAAAAAGCAGAATGAAATCAAATTCACTTAGCACTTCATTAATTCTGATTTTCTATTCAAATTTTTAATTCCAGGACTATTCAGAACCAGAATTGGTATCCCCTACAGCTCTATTCAGAAAATGGTTTTACTTCCTCTCTTAAAATTTGAGATTAAAATGAAAAGACACAAAGAAAAGACATACAAGGTAATCTGTTTTTAAAAGGTATAAAAGCCTACTGCCAAAATGAATAGCATTCATGCCAAGGTAGGGTGTTTTTTAGAGACGCATGCCAAATTGCCCACGGTTTATATTCACCTCACTTCCTCTAGAGTTCACCTTGCAGAAACATGAAAGAGTGTGGAATTACAAATCAAGGGAATGAAGGCTGGTCAGTATTTTAAAATATTACCTGCATAAACATTTTTTTAAAACAACAAAGATATTTCTTTCGTTATTTATAGAAGGCACTCCAGTAAAGACCTCTGAGAGTCATGTTTTGGATTTCATCAAGCATGGTACTTATTTAATATAAACCTTTGTTTCATGGTATTAAAAGAAATCTTTTACGTCATTGTTTTTAAGCGTTTTGCGGTGACAGCACCTTCCCCTCAGTTTTTAGCAATTACTTAAATTATCATAAACGGTATCTCTAGCAACTTAAGGCATAGTTGTGTTAAAGTGCATTTCTATATTTCTGCTATTTTCCCTTGGTAAGAAATAAATAAAGCAGATACTAACGTAGTCGATTTCTTATGAGGTGAAACTTTATTCACACCATAAGCCCTGTTGATGCGAGGGGTGGGGGGGCATTCAAGCTCTCTTCTGTTCCTTTTACCAATTGCCTTTCTTCCCTTCTTCCTCTATCATCATCATCACCACCACCACCATCACCACCATTATCATCGTCATCTTTTTCTTCTTCTTCTTCATCTCCACAATAAACCCGTGCTCTAAGCCATTTGTTTACAGATGTTATCCTATTTTTCTTTACAATAACTCTATAAAGTCAGTAATAATTATCTTATTTTTACAGATGAGAAAATTTAGGCCCCCTAGAAGGTAAAGTAACCTGCTCAAGAGCCACATAGTAAGTAGCAGAGCTGAGAGTCAAACTCAAGTTTAGTTAGTCCCAACTCTAAAAATGTTTCCCTTTCAGCACCGTGCCACCCTAATCTTGGCGATGAGCACAGCATTTGAGGAGTCAGCCCCTTGAATGAGACTCTTTATAAACTGCTGTGGATCTCTAAAGCCCAAAAGGAAAAAGCCTGACTCATTGTGCAGTAATAAGCTTCTGAATTAGATGAATGATGATGGCTTACCCAGTTTTTCTTTTTCTTCTTCTTGGAGTCAGCATCATTACCACTGCCAATGCTGGAATGGCTTGTGGCACTGTTGATACTAGAAACACTTTCAGATGAATGCTGTCTTCTGATGCGAAGATCTAGCAACAGACAGAGAGTATCATATTTGCTCATAAAGACTTTCAGTCTGAACAAGTAAGACTCAGGCTTTCTGAGAGGAAGTCCTCTAATAAAAGTCAACACGGCTTTGTAGAGATAATTTCAATGCAGTTTTCATTTTACAAGCTTAATAAAGTACAACCATATTTGCTTTAATTAACTGGGTTATCTGCATTAAGATTCAATGGGAATCTCATATAAGTCTGTAGCACTGGTGGTTTAATAAGTTCTGAGTTTTGTCCAAAAATGAAATGCCATGCTAGTGATTTCTACTGAATACCTGGATCAAACAGTGCTTCCAAAATGATTTATTCCAAATGATTAGTTCCATGGAGTAAATGGAAACTCATGATAGAATAAGAATTCATTGTCTTTTTAATATTTGTGTTTTGAATAAAGTTACTGAAGCCAACTGTATTAACTTTCCATTTCACAGAATCATACCACATCAGAGCCAAAACAAACCTTGGAGGTCATCTAAGCACTTCATCTCATTCATAGATGAGGAAATTGAAGTGCAAAGAAGTTAAGTAACTAGACCAAGGTCAAAGAGCCAGTGAGGGGAAGATCCTCAAGAGAGAATCTGGGTACAGTGCATTGTGAACTAAACAGAAAATATATTTAATGCAGTGCAATTCTTCCATCATACTCCTACTCTCTGTCCAATTCTTCCATCATACTCCTACTCTCTGTCCATGGCTTAGAATAGTAATAACAATACCAGTAATAAAATGGGTAACAACAAAGCTACCTCTTATTAAGTGCTTACTCTACCCTGGGAGTATCCAATTTTATCATTAACACCAACCACTGACATGAGATTAATTACTAAATGTAATTTTCCCAGAGTCACAGAGCTGAAGAACAGTGGAGCCCACCTGAGACCTGGACTGATTCTAAAGTCATTGTGCTACCCGCCATGTAATGTGTACTCTCTGTACCTCTAAAAAGCATGTGGTACTTCTCTAGTTACACAAGATTTTTTGAAGAGGCTAGCATTTGATACTTAATCACTTTTTGAAGATATTCACTTAGTTCATACAAGCAAATTATTTATTTATAGTTAATAAAAATTGAAACTGGCATTTTAGCTACTTACAGTGAACTGATATTAAGTGTTAATGGAGACACTGAGAATTTATAAAATTACTTTTAATGTCAAATCTACCTATAGGCCATTTCTATTACTATATTTAATTGGCATTAACTCAAATTAGCTAAGCAAAAAATCTCAGTGGAACTTATGTCAGAAATTACCATATAGCTTTCAAAAGGTTTCCATAAAAATAATAGCATAAAATCAAACTTTCCAGTTGATTGATCTATTTAACAGTAAAATGACTCATAGCAATGACACTTTAACTGGCTACTTTCAAAACAAAATAAATGGGTGTACATGTGGGTTTGTATTATACATATACATATCTCCGTCTTTACACTCATATACATATGTACATAACAATAATTATTTTTATTTTTCCATTAACCTAATAACCATGCTGACAAATTTTATGGGAGGGAAAAGTAGAGCTATTTTTCAGAATCCCTAGAGTTTGGTCTCTTAAAAGTATTTTTAAAAATAATGATGAGAACATTTACTGTTTTTGCATGCTAAAAGCATTACCATGCCAAAACCTAAATCAAGGTATTTATGCGTGCTCTTTTGATACAACAATAGAGGACACAGTATCCCTTAATCAATTAATATGGAAGTTATATGAATAAACAATAGAAGAATATGTGCAGGTATTTATTTTTGTTTTACATTTCTGCGGCAGTTGGCTATAAGCTTTTCGGAACAAGATGTAGTATTTGCTAGTTTTTTCCTAATACTGACTTTCACAAATAGAGCAGATGTTTTGTTAAACTATCCTAGAGCTTTTATCATATCTAAAATTAACAAATTCTATTTGACTTTGATTAATCCCCAATTTTAAAAAGATAGGTAAATTCTTGTAATCACAGGTCAAAATTAGTCCTTGGAGGTATTAGTTATATTCAACTATGACTGCATTTCCAATAAACATTAGCAAAGGCATAATTTCAATGATATCGTGGAATGAAGGCAATGCATTTTACTTTTCTCTAATAATTCTTTCCCAGTGCTTATAAGTATTTGATTCAGTGCATGGGACATCAAAGAGTTCAGTAAAGAATGGTTGACCAAATGAGTATTGACAATCTGAATGAATGGAGAAGCTTATTTTAAAAGTACATATTTCAATTACACATTGTTCATCCATTCATTTTCCATGTCCCACCCTTTGCCCCATGACTGCCTGGGGTCAAGCTACCACCATGACTTGCCTGCTCTACAGCAAGAAGAGCTGTCCAACTGACTCACCTTCCAACCAGTCTACAAACAGTAGCTAGAGAAATCTTTTTGAAAGAAAAACTTCATCATTTCTCCCTTTCTTAAGACTTTTCAATAGATTCCCATTTTAATAAAAATAGAAAATACTTCAACTCTTAAATATGGCCTAAAAGTCTCCCAGTAATCTGGTTAGTACTTTTCTCTCCAAACTGGTTCTGTTATTTTATCTTTGCTCATTGTCTTCCTTGTATCATTTCCATAAAGGTGCTAATCTCTTTCCTGTCTCTAGACCCTCTGGAAGCTCCTCTCTCAAAATTTCTGAATGACTTGAGAATTACTCCTTGGATCTCCCCTTAAATGTTGCTGTCTTGAAAAGGCCTTTCTGGACTATGCGAACTCTGTTAGGTTGCCTGGTACCTTTGCTTTCTATGGCACCTATTCTTGTTCATTTTAGAACTTATAAATATTTTGGTATGCATATTCAACTATACTAACAATCACAATTGTTTATTTTCTGCTCTACCAGTAGACTAAAAGTTTGATGGAGACAAAGGCTATGTCTATTTTGTTTGCCCTTATATATCCAGGGCCTTTTGCAGAGCATGGCATGTGGTAGGTGATCAATACCTGCTGAATAAATTTATTCTTATTATTCATTCTACACAACTGTGTTTGCCTAACATTCCTAAAAAATACTTACTGTTGACAGCAGTTTAATGCATGTTTTGTCAAATTGTACTTGATACGTCTTAAGGAAAAACTATCGCATGTTTATGCACAGAAGTAGTAACTTAAAAAACAATAGTACATTTTGAAAAATAAAAATAAAATTTTCCATTACCTTTACCTTTCAGCCTTATAATAATTAAGGTTTATAATGTCACAATTGTTATAAATATAATATACATCAATTACCTTTCATTGCAATGGATTGTGAGCTTTTGAGCAGAGAGGGCTTTTTTTAAAATTTTCGTATTTCAAGATCTAATAGAGTGCCTAGTACATAGCAGGTGCTCAAATAACATTTGTGAATGAATAAATACATTTATTCTATTGTAGACTGCTATTATTTATCAGGCTTTGTAAATAAATGTTATGTACAAATAAAGAGAAAATAGAAAGTTACCTTAATAAATTGGTATGTGATTTTGCCATAGTTGACCTATCTATAAATGTGTTAAGTCACTCCAAATACATATCTTAAGATTATATGGTAAAAATTTACCTGACATAAATATTTTAAAGGTCACAAAAACCAAATTTCAATACGATTTCAGAAAACAAATTTACAGCTTATATAATCATCTTAATAACCATGGAAAGATATGTAATTAGTCCATGACTGTTTATTTTCTCCATGTAATGTCAACAGTCAATTATAATAAGGATTCATCTGTTTCCACTGAACTTAATGTGTTTTAATATTACAGGAACACAATCTAAATATCCTATATACATTCAACCTTTATAACTATTTGTTTTTGTTAGTTTTTAATCTTGTAATATTATTTTTTTAATTTTATTGACCAATTTGACTATTAGCTGTTATCATTTTGTTCATGTTAGGCCCCCCTCCCACATTTCTGAGCAAAGGAACTCCTATTTTTCAAGTCCAGCAGATCTCTTAAGCCACCTGTTGCCTAAGATAAAAGGAATCTGTCCAGAAAGTTTTACTTCAGTGACTTGTACTGTGTTAAAGAAAAGATTAAGCCTTTTTAAATCCCTTCTGGACCTATTTACGACTTGAAGATTTAGAACATAAGCTGCTTTATTATAGCTCTAAGATAAGCTTTAAATATGCAGTTAATTTTCCATGCAGCATATAAATCAACTCCCCCGCATGGAAAGTTGCTAAATTCTCAACAGAAGTAGCCCCTAGAGAACTAGTTTGTCCTTCAATTTAAGTATATCTCACTTTATATAATTGTTTTCCTAAAATTTAAATTCAAGTGTTTTTTAAATTATATTATTCCTTTCTATAAAATTTAATTACGCCCTTTTTATGTGCAGGGCATCATCATAGCCACTAGGATTAAAAAAACAAACCACTCTACTATCAATCAGGAAAGGCAGACCTTAAATAAATGAAGGAACCAAAGTATAATGCAAATTTTGATAGTGGAAATACAGTTATTTCCAGAAACATATCACAAGGGGACTTCATCTAGTTTGAGGATCAAGGAGGCATATTTAGACTAACTCTTGCAAGGTCTTAAACATTATGGTGAACAAGTAGGGTAGAAAGTTATAAGTAGAATAAACAGAATATATAAGGAACTTTTGAAGAATTGGACGAAGTTCAGGGTAGCTGAAATATGAAATATAGAATGCAACAAAAGAGCAAGATATAAGGTCTAGATTAATGTCTAGCATATAACTGATAATCAATAAATATTTGTTGAATGAAGGAAGCTGGTGAAGAAAGATTATATCATGTTAAGGAGTCTGTATTTAATCCTAAAGTCAATAAGACACCTGTAGATATATGTTGTCAGACAATTGCTATGGTTTCACTGTGCGGAGGATGTAAAGTGGTGTTTGACAATGAGCTGAAAGGCTTTAGGAGTATGCGGTCATTGTTCAAGTGAGAGAGGAGGGATGGTGATAGTAGGATTAGAGAAAAGAGAACAGATCCAAGAGAATTTAAGGGGTGGAATCCACAGAACTTGGTGATTTTTTGAGTGAGGAGAGGAAGATGTATAAATAACAGATTTCTGGCTATGTGGAAGGATGTTGGTGCCATTTACTGAGGCAAGGAACACTGAAGGTAAAGCGAGTATGTGAGGGAAGATGACAAGTTCAAATTTGGAGATGTTGAGTTTAAGCTGACAAACAGACATCCAAAGATAACCAAATGTAGTTCTCTCTTTGGCAGCTGGATACACAGATCTGTAACTCAAGAGATGAGCCTGGCCTGGAGAGATATGATTGACAGTCATCAACACATAAATGATGATTACAGCTAGAGCACTAGATGAGTTTGTACAGGATTTTAGATAGGATGGAGAGAATCAAAATGTACAAAATCATAATGAAAGAGAGCTAAGGACTGGGTTCTAAGAAATATCAACAGTTAACAGATAGATACAACTGAGTGAACCTACAAAAGACACTTTGAAAGAGATTTCAAAGGAGCAGCAAAAAAACTAAGAATATGGATGTCATGAACATTAGAAGAAATGTATGTTTCAAGTAGGATGGAATGGACATCAGTATAGAATGCTTTTTCTATGTAAAATACAATAAGAATTTGAAATGTTGTACTGGATTTAGTGTCATATAAGTCACTCCTGATTCTGGAGAGCTGGTGAAGTGGTAGGAAAGGAAGCCACACTCCAGTGGTCTGAAGTGTGACTGGCTGCTGAGATATTGAAATATTCCATAAAACTTTTCCAGAATTCATATGGAAGTGGGACGAGAAATGACAGGACATTTTTAAGCTAGTAAAGAGTTGAGCATATCAAATGCTTTTGAAAAGAGTTAGGACATGAATAAGCAGAACCTGTGTAAAGAAAAGACAACGTGACACTAATACAAAGCATTTCTTCCATGGCAAATCATGGGAAAAAGGGGGTGGGGGTGGTGGCAGAGATTGTTTTGTCATGTTTAGAACTGTTGAAGCATAGTAATAACAAAAAGTAGTCCAAATTTTAGTCCGTTTTCTTACTGTTTTTAAATTCTCCACAAGAAATTAACCTTTTTATTACACCCCACCCAGGATGAGTTGCTCCCCACACTCACTACTTGGTATTTCACCATATTAATTATTTTATTTTTGTGTACAGATCTAGATTTTCGTACTCCTTACTAGGTTTGTTTTGCTTGAAATCAGATATAAATGCATTAATCAACCTCCCCATCCTCACCTTCACCAAATCAAGTGGAGAGAAATGTGTGTATGACTATACAAGAAAATTCTTAAGAAAGATCAATTTAAAAATTATTTAATAATGAAAGCTACTGTTCTTAAATTCTGGAATTCTGACTGCATTAATACCAACTTACTCATTATAAAAGGCAATGTCACTGAGTAAAAGCAGCTTTGCTTTAATTAATAAATAAAATAGATGACTATTACATTGAATGAAATAGGCAATATTTCTAAATATACCTTTGGGAGGATGGTCTGGACCATTCAGTGCTCCTTGAATGGCTGCCTGGGCAGCAGAGTTCTGGGCCTTCAACATTTCAATGGTTTCTCTTAGTTCTATAAGTTCAGACTCCTGTGAAACAAACACAATGTAGAAGCTTTAATACCTAGAGAGAAAAGTAAAACATCCTTCTTCATAATGCACTATCAAACAGGTTTGATTTTATGTAGTGCTAATGTCCTGGGAGATTTGGATGCTTGACTGACCTTGTCAAGTTGAATCTAATAACTTCTTATTTAGCTAAATGTACCGGAGAATTAAAAAAAAATTTTTTTGGTTATTCTCTTATAAATGTGATCTGAATAGTCTTTATTCCTCTCAAAAGGCAGCACCCAAAAATGACCAGTACACATAAAGCAAGATATCACATTGCTAATTTTATACCAAACTTATTAATACTACCTATGATTATATTACATAGTTAGATACCAGTATTGTACTAGTGCATCATATTGCATTTACTGTCAACTGGAAACCCTGAGTTTTTGTCAAATGAGCGATTTCAGATTTTGTCACATTTATTTTGCAATTGGAAAATAGGTTCTTTATATTCAAATATAAAACCTGGAACTCATCCCTAAATCACTCCTTTCAATGTAATCTTATCAAATTCTGCTGGCATATCAAGGTCATCTTAGATTCTGATACTTTTCACCCAATAAAACTCTTAGTATGGAGACCCATCTTCATCAAGCCAAAGCAACAGAGAAATTTTTAAAAACTGAATAAAAATATATGTAATATACTGTCCTTAAATAATAGTTAAATTACCAAAAAGCTTACAAATCAAATTTTTATAAAACATCTATTTTCTTATTGAATTTAAGATATATCCCAATGAAAATCCTTGTATAAATTTGCTCTTTCACAGATATTGAAGTGAATTATTTTATCAGACATGACTCAGTATGAGGAAGATAAGATAAAAAGAGAAGGAAGTGGAGTGCTCTTTCAGCATAGGCAATATTTCCATCAGGAGCTCCTTCTTGGCATTGATAGCAATCCTAAAAATTAGAATCCTTGTCAGTGTCTTAGAGGGAGAATTCATTGCTAATGTATTTGTCATTCATCATTTTCTCTAGCATCTTTGGAAGAAAGCCAAAGAATCAGGCTTGGGTTCTTTGCTCCGTGGTAGAGTTTATCCCCACTCAACGTCTCCCAGAATATGTAGAGAAGGCAGGATCACCGACAACTGCCTTTGCAGGAGACTGCCTCACACACGGGAATGTCCAGTGACTATTCTGAACTTAGATACCTTGTTAAAGAAGACAGACAATGCTAGTTGAAATGATATGCAAGTTTGGGATAGATAACTGGCACTACCTCAATCTATTTTGATTGGCTACCTGACATATTCCTGACTGAGAATAGTGAGATATTTTAAAAAACAAAACCTCTTATAGACTTTTAATAGCTCATATCAAAAAATCTCATAATGAAACATCAATAGCAACCTCCTGGATTTATAGATGGATCTTCAAATACTTGATTGTAATTTCATCTGCATTTATTTATCAAAAGAAAAAGAACGTGTTTGTGGAAAATTTCCAATGTCATAACACAAAACACACCACAATTTCTCAGTCTCTCTAAGTTCCATCTATATTCTGTTCCTTGCCCAACTAGTAATATATAAGTTTACCAAAATTTAACGTACTTTCCATTTAAAATGAGTCTCCCAAGAGATAAAATGTTTAAAAAATTCATCCTGCTTTAACCAGAAATTTATTCACAGAAGGATATCTATAGTGCATATTTAAGGAATTACATAAATAGAAATTTTACAACATATAGACTAGGACTTGTGTTACATTTTAATTATAAGCTGATTTTAATTTTTGAATTTAAAAGAAATAGTGCTTATAGTGTGGATTAAAAATCTGCTAAAACATTTGGATTTAGGTTTAAAGTGAAAAAATGAAAATGAGAAGATCTCATGCAAATGTCTAAAAAATTTAGCTTAAGTTTATGAGATAGCTGACTTATTTTGATGTCAAAACTAATCTTTTCTAGAGAAATCTCTTTTAAAAACTGTTTTTTAAAAAAATTAGAAGTGGACTTTCAGGGAATATTATTTTTTCACAAAATTGTGTTTAATACGAGATAGAAGAATGATCACTTTCTAAAATTAAGTACTTTTTAAAAACAACAGATATTAGCAGGTTAGTTGTTACTTATTGTGGCACAATAAACCCAAAGGAAGAGCAACTAGGTAAGAAATATATTCATTATATGACGGGAAAATCACATCCATGAAAAAAGTGATTTTATCAAATTCATAGTAGTTCTTTAGGAGAACTTTGTAAATGTAATCAAGCCCTTATGAAATATTCCATTGTCTTTAATTAAAAAGATAGTTAAATTCTACTTTGACATAATCTGTTCAAACCTCAAGTGCTTATCTCTCCAAATCTGCAAAACTTCCTTCCTTCTTCCTCACATCAGTTGATGAGATCCACCTACACCTGTCACTCAAGCTAGAATCATTTCTTTTCCTGAGTCTTTCTATATGATTTTTCCCTTTGCCTTAAATATCCTTCCTCACTCTGAAAGGCCATGGTGAAATGTCTCCATACATGTGAAACCTCTTAGTTTTCTTCTCAGAAAAAATGAAAAGGTCCCCTTTCTGTGCTTTCAAACCATTTATGACCTTCAGCTTATTTAGTTGTTGAAGAGTTTATCTTTTGACCTAACTTACGATCTCAGTAAATGTTAGTATGATTTTGTTCAAATGTTCTGGTCTATGTTAAACAGATGTTTCTCCCCTTCAAAGAATAATGTTAAACTTCAACTCTACTGCATGTTTTAACAACAGGGTGTTTGATCACCCAGGGTGCCACAAAGACGTCAATAACTTTATTATTCATTGTAAACAGAAAGTCTCAGTATGGCTAAATCAGTAGAATCATTTCCTTTGGATGGTAATAAAATCAGGTTTTCCTTTCTCTGTTTTCCAATAGTTCCTAGAGGTAAATGTAAGGCATTTTAAAATGAAAATTTGACTGAGACATAGAAATTGATTTTTAGTAGTTTATTTCTAGGTTTCCTTTTTTTCCCCTTCATAATTATAGTTGGTTTTTCACATTTATTTTTTAAGCTATATTTTCCTAAGTTTACTATAATGCATGGACATTGCACTGTTGCCTCCAAGTACAACTCTGAATTCCCTTTTTCGGCCATAGTGGGGATGTAGATCAGAAAGATGATTAGAAGTGAGTTCCAGAGATAGCTGACTATAAAATTGTTTGATTATCTGAAATAGTTTCATATAGTCTCTTTATTTTGAAGATGACCTAATAAAAGATACTTAAGTTTTGAGAATCTCTATTAACCCTTCAGAAAAAAACGCGGGAAAATGTTTATACTATCAGGATATGGATTTAAAGTCTACTCTTCGTATTCAGTAGTTTCCAGTTTCTTCTCTCCTTATTAGAAACCAAACAGAAGACTGGGGCTGAGATAATTCTGCAAAGGATCCTGGAGATAAAATGATCAGACCATATTTTGTTGGTATTTCCTCCTTTTCAAGAGTGGTATTTTAAAACCTGAGAACCAAACTAAAATTTCATTTATTTACAATGAGCCAATCAAGATAATGATGTCCCAAATACCTGCTGACCATGTAAGATGCCAGTTTTCCAGGAGAGTTTCCTGGGTAAAAGAAGGTGGATGGAGTCATTATCTCTTCTAACTATTTTGTACCTGTCTCTGAGGCTAAATAAGTTATCAAGATCAGACTTGAAATGCTTCAAAATAAAATTATCAAATACAGGTATCAAAATACTAGCTTGCTTGGGATTCTTTCTAACCTAATTTCTTAACTATATCTGACCTCTTTCCAAACTTCTCCTAGCCACAGGCCTTCTTGAGAATCCCACAAGCTTGGCAACAAATCTCATCAACCTACTTGACCTTCTAGGCAAGGCTCTTAAAAAATTCTAAACCCGTTTTTTGCTTCTCACATTGACACTCAGTTAATCTCACACTATCTAGATGTATTTTCTTTGAACACATTCCACTCCTAACCCCTTTGTACTGTGTCTTTAGTTTTTCTACTGAAAGAACCTGGCCAGCCCTGGTTCTAACTAAATGAACTAAACTCACCAAATCACAGTAGCATAAGCAACTGGAATCCATAAGTAACTTATGAATTCAAATTATCCTATGCCTAAAAGGCTAATGGACGTATTTTCTGACTCTAACATCAAATTTTTAAAAACACTTCCAGATGACAAATACTTTATCCAAACTGGGGAAAGTTAATGTAAAGACCCAATTCAACTAAATTTTTAGCTTCTACATTATCTATTTTCAGAGTCACAGCTTTGAATTTTCTCATTTTTAAGGTTTAAGTTTCTATTCATCTAGTCACCAAAAAAAGAAATTTCACAGAGGCAAGAATGAGCAAACCCAGACTTCATAGTTGGCACAAGGATCAATATCTGAGCTCCATCACTCATACAAAAGGTATTCCTCTGTCATGCTCTGACCTAAGAAGGCTAACCTAGTATCCTTTAATATGCTTTAATTGCCTCTGGCATGACAACTATAGGGAACTGATCTGAAAGTCTTCTAATTATCCATAAGTACTACCTTAGTAAATTTGCAAGGGTATAGTAGTAGTTCTGTAAAATTTTCAGTCGTAAAAATATAGACTTGCAGAATTCTTGCCATTCGATGACTTGCATTGTAGCCTTCGTCATCTGGCATTCTATGAGAAAATAAAGGCCTGAACAATAATTTGAGTGACAAGTTTTTCAGTTTTGACAAGGATGGTACATAGCTAATACACTCTAGATGCAGAGAACAGAAATTATTTTATCCTATATGATTGATGCCTCAGGGCATTAAGTCCTAATTCTCTCATAGAATCATAGAGAAGAAGTGCTGGTAGTGGGACAAGGACCTGAAATCTGGGTAAAATTCTTGATCAGACTATGTCACTATCACAATCTGTTGAGCCCTAGGTTAGCAGAGGGCAATGCCGAGAGATAATTTCACCCTCCAGCAAGCATCATTGACAATTCTTTTTTTTTTCCTATATAGATCTATTTTTATATAAAATGTGATCCTCTGCTGGCAATTGAGAATGCTGTTGAGCTTTTGGGAAATGCTGCTGGATTAACTAAATTTTCATTAACTTAATTTTGTCATGTTAGTCTGGTGTCAAAAAACCTTGAATGGCTCCTTGTTTTCAAAAATCAGATTCCTTAGACATCTTTCTAGCCTTAGTTCCCATTTCCCTCCACATTCCTTCTTTTTCCCTTAATATTTCCCATATTTTCCTCCTTGCTACTCATGCTCATGGTGTTTCTTCCTCTATGATGTACAGTCCTCCATGTTCACTGAAATAATCTTCTTCATTCTCCAAGAGCCTGAGGAGGTTCCTCTGTGCCATCTCCACACTGAAACCAGTGTGAAGATGCAGCGGTCCCCCATGAGAACGCTCCCGACATTGGACTGTTATATTGCTAATCGTGCCTCCTGAGTTATTCATACATCTCTTTTCTTTCTTACCAGGCTGTAAGTATATAAAAGCAGCATTTGGGCATATACATTTGGTAGGAGAATCATTGTGATTTGGCATCTGTAAACAAAGAAAAATTTTAGGGCACTATTCAAGGGAGTGATTTTAGTCTATAAATCAAACTAAAGTTTTGATATAGTCTTCAGACTATTCATGCCATTGATTGTTGAAAATCACACTTTGAAGTCAGAAGAAGCCAGAAGATTTGGATTTGGATTCCTAGGTTAGTTTATCTATTTCTTAAGCATGTAACCAAGGACATGTAACTACCTTGGCCTTTGTTTCTTCATGTGTTAGCATCCCATCCTGCCTTTACATTTTTCAGCAGTGCTTATCGTCACCTGGAATACTATATGTTTTAATTATATTTTTATCATAATCTGTCACCTACTAGAATATAAACTATTTTATATTATAACCGGTTATAAACTAGGATATAAACTCTGTGTGTGTGTGAGTATATATATATATATTTCATAGTTTCATTCTCAGTAGCCAGAACATATCTCATACACAGCAGAAATTCAATATAACTTTGGCGAATGACTAAATGGACAAATGAACCTTGGAGCTCCAGGAACAGAGTTTCAAAACCTCTGCTCTATATTCTCTAATCTTTTTCCCAGTATTGTTGGATCACTAGAGAGCAATATACCCTTTTATCTCAGCTCCCTGAAGAAATGACTTTACTGAAATAGGATTAAATGTTATGCCCTCAACTTTTAGAGAAATGTCTATTTGAACAGTGATTCTGTCTTTTGTTATTCCATGACCCCAATTTAAGAAACTTTACAATAAATTTGTCCTTGAATTCAGTGCCAAAAAGTTTGCCTCTTCAATCTAAATTATGCTCTTCTGGTCAGAAAATGAGAACTAAACATGCCAAGCCGTCTCCTTTTGTGTCTCAGCTTCCTTGACATTCAATTCAGTTCAGAGCTTTGCAGAAGTAATTACACAGGCTCAGGCATCTTGTTATATACATTCCTCTATTGGTTTTCACTAGATTCTGTCATTGAATTGTGCCATAGCATATTACAAATAATTTTATGAGATTATCAAAACCACTTTGGAAATAGGCAAGTAATATATCCCAGATTAGGCAGCCCTAGTGGTCTAGTCATTAAGATTTGTGTTCTAACCACTGCTTTCTGGATTTGTTTTCTGGTCAGGGAACCACACCACCATCTGTCTGTTGTCATACTGTGGTGGCTGTGTCTTGCTGTGATGCTGAAAGTTATGCCACTTGGATTTCAAACACCAGCAGGGTCACCCACACTGGACAGGTTTCAGCAGAGCTTCCAGACTAAAATAGACTAGGAAGGATGACATGGCCACCCACTTCCGAAGAAAATGGCCATGAAAACCCTTGAATAGCTGTAGAGCACTGTCTGATACAGTGCCGGATGGGGAGATGATGGCGCAAAAAGACTGGGCAGGGTTCTGCTCTGCTGTCCACAGGGTTGCCAGGAGTCAGAATCCACTCGACAGTACTAATAACAACAAATCTCAGATTGATAAAATAAACTAGTTACTAATGTTGTGTGTGTACAGCCTGCAATTAGAAGAGCAATCAGTTAAAAAAAGGGCAAGGGCAATTTCAGACATCATGCTATTTTCTGAGAAAATTTCGTATTTGTGGTAATGTTACTTTAAGAATAATGTGCACACAATTATAAAATACCTTGTATTACGGAGAAATATTTAAAATATTCAGGCATTATTCATAAGCATTATAAATTAACGTTTGTTTTTCCAGTTTCTATGAGAAACTGTACTTACAAATATGAAAGTTGAAGGAAATATGGGAGAGGCAAAAATATATTAATTATGACTTAAAGATATGGAGACAAATACTAAGGATGATTTCTAGCGCTATGCTTGGCATATGGTCAATAATGAATTAGGTTCATCTTACATTTTGTAAGGGGAAAAGGAGAGAAATGTAAAGGAAGGTAACATTTGCTGACTGTCCACTGCATGTGACATTATCATAATATCTCATTTATTCCTCATAATGACTCTACAAGACAGTTATCATAATCCCCATTCTAAAAGTGACGAATGTGAGGGTCAGAAAAGGAAGATCCAACAGCTTCTAAGAGACGTCCCTGAGATTCACACTCAAGCCTACTGGGCTCCAATGTTTATATTCTTTCCCACTCCGCTGCCCTAAGAGACCTTGTAATCCTATTTGCTGAGTTCTTCTGTTACATAGTGAAGTGGTAGACTGTACCCCCCCAAACAAGATTAAGATAAAATTTATGCTTGAGAGAGTTTGTTCACTTCCCTTCAAGAACAGGTTTCACAGGGTGGACAGTATTCTCTTTCACAGGCATGGGAAATCTATGAAATAGGAGAATGGAAGATAAGGGCAGATAGAACACCCTTTGCTAATTATACTAAGCAATTATAGTATTATTCAATTTTCTCTTTTGGTTTAATTAGGCTTTTCATTCATGTTTGTATTTAACTTAAAAAAATGGTAAACTGACAAAACTTGGTCATACATGCTAATTCTTTAAAGCTAATGACATACTTTATAGAACTAAAGACAAAATTGGAAGCCCTTCCTATGGATCGAGATATAGGTACTGATTCTGAAAATATCCAGAACTTTTTAGATTATGGATCTGTTTGAGAATCAGAAGAAAACTGTGTCCACTTTGCTCATATTACGCACATGTGCAGTTTTTACAAATACTTTCATACAATATTAGAGTCTTCATCTGTCTCTGACAACCGCCCAAGGACTCAGCTTAGGACTACCAAAGTAACAGCAGAGAGTCAGTTACTGGTTAACTTGTGGAAAGGGTCCACATTCTTTCTAGGCAGCACAGACCTTTTTGATGCTTCTGCCTTTGTGAACTGAGTTAATTCTCTGTTTATTTCTTTTTAGTATTGCTTCTTCTACTCCATAAAATCATTCAGATTTTATATAATTTAACTTTACTTCAAAGACAGCATCCCCAGATGCCAACTAGTCCTTTTTACTCCAAAATTACGCAATATTGTCCTTTGTCCCATAGATGCTTTAACCTAAAGCCCTACCTTGTCGAGTCCTAACATCTCTTCCAGGCCTTATTCACGAGTATCTCAGCCTACTGGCCTTCGCATGGCTTACAGACCATGCATTTGTGAAAATCTTGGCAGAATGCAGCTCTTCTCAACTGCATAACAAATTGTTCCTAGAATATTCTAACTCTTCTTCCATACAACTGTTTCTCTTTCTTAACATTTGGTATTCTTTTAATAGTTCCAGTCAGAGGTAAAATAATACACTGCCTAGAAAGAACTCTGTGTGCGTGTGTGTGTGTGTGTGTGTGTTCCAATTATGGATTAATCTGGATCATAAGTCTTTAAATCAAAATCTGAAAAGGAAAGGCATTACCTTGTCACTGTTCCAATTTAGTATAGAATGGATCCTCTGTAGTATTATTTTTAAGAAGCTGCATCTCAGGCATTGTTTAAGTATCCTCTGCAACTCACCATCTTATTTCACGGCCCAGTACCAGTTCTTGAACATACCTTTTGTTCCGCTGTCATGGTTAGACTTTGCAGTCGGCCAGTCATATTCCCTAAACTCTTTTCAAAAGCTGCTACGAGGTGAGCCTGTGAACCAAATGGAAGGATCACATTTTAAATGTCAGAACCTCATTTGGATGGACGAAAACACTTCATTTTACAAAAAGCTTAATTTCAGGTATTCTAACTCTTTAAATACTGTGACCATCACGGTTAAATTTCAATGGTGACTCTCCTTTAACACAAATCTTCATTTATCTTTTCTAAACTTCAGCTTAAAATCAGTGTTTTAGTCTCTTGACATTTAATGTGAGTTCAAACAACTTCTGAAAGGGGATGGTATTTTGCAAATAATAACACCTTCTAACTTGCACATCATGGAAGATTTGACACCTAAAATACTGAATAAAGTTCTGAGTTGCAAAGTTTTTGACTGAAAGCCCAAGAGGAGGTCACTGTGATAGTCAATGGACAAATGTTCCTCCTTTTTATACCTGTATGATGAACTTTGAAGACATTGTTAGCTCCTCCATTATAAAGGCACTCTCCTCCAAGTGTCAGACATCTGCTGACAGCTAAAACATTATCTTTCTTCTCTTTCTACATACAAAGAACTGAATCGAAAAGAGTTGTCTTCACTTTCCAAACTCTTTTCAATAAAAGGGCTTTTATTTCTACTTTATTCTCTTCAACTAAGAAAGCATAGGTAGGCCAGCTAGAAAGAATATTCAATCATATTTTATTTAACATTAGGTTTTTGTGGCTTTGGGGTTTTATTTTAAATCTCAGAGAATTATACATATTGCAGTACATAACCATAAGTCTTACGATTAAGAAGTATTTGACAATCTTATTAGAGCTCTAAAACAGGCCAGTCCTACTGACGTGCCATTATGCAACAGCGTGACCCACAGAATACTGGGTGTGAAGAGGTGCTCCATCTTCGCTGTGGCTTTAGGTAAGTCTGTAGGTATGCTATCTCAAACAGATCTAATTCTATTATGCTCTTAAATGGATCCAAGGATAGAATATTTTACAGCCCACATCTGTAATAAACTATGTGTGGGGGGAAACTTGGCAATCCTTGGCAAAAGATTAATTTTTTGAGGGAAGGGAGTAAGAGAACTCAATTAAAATACATCGCCCTGTAACTCTAGCAGAGCTGAAACGCTGAAGTACCTGTAATCAAAGGGATCATGGGAGTCCTAAAAATTAGGGCATTCGAAGTTTATTCCATTATTGGTAACAGCTAGAATGTACAAGGCCCTTCCATTAGCATCATGATACAAAGGTGTCTTTGTTTCTATCTCTGAACTTATCCTGAGCTTCCTTTTTTTCCTGACACTGCAAAATGGAGAAAGATCATTCGTAGAAAATGCTTCTACTAATCTTCAGGCCATCAGAACAAGTCTTCATTCTTTTTCCACTCCCTCTTCTCTTCCTCCCATACATACACGCACACAAATGATGATGCGTATTCCCTGACTTGTGTTAAGTGAAGTCTGTCAAGGTAGCAAAATAGACAAGACTGAATATTAGTTAAGGGAAGTTCTTTTTAATGCATACTGTCTTTGGTTTTCAAATCACAACCTTGAGAATTATACTTCAAGGTTTGTTAGCAGATTTAATTGGATAAATATTACTCAAAAAGAAAAAGAAATAGTATCATATAGTTTAAAATATTTTCAATGAAGGAATACTATTACATCAGACTTAGTACCCTCAGAAATTAGCATAAGGTTATGTCCCACTTTCTCTGATACTTAACCTTTTTTAATTGTAAAAAAAATACACCCTACATAAAAGAACAAATTGAAAATGTACAGCTCACTGGCTTATCATATAGTGAACGTTCATGCACTTATGAGCCAAGTCCAGAAACAGTACATTTCAAGACCCCAGAAGTCCTCCCTTGCCCCTCCCTCAGTACTGTCTCCTCTCCCTTCCCCAAAGATAACCACTGTTATGACTTTGTGGTAGTTATTTTCTTGCTTCTCTTTATAGTTTTATCACCTAAGCTTGCATCCCTAAATGTTATGCTAGCTTCGCCTATTTTAAAAACTATTCCAGTGGAATCATATGGCATGATTTTTTTGTGACTGTCTTCTTTTACTTAACATTGTGCTTTTGAGATCTGTCCATGTGGCGTGTAGCAGGAGTTAGATTTGGCTCTAAAACTCTGCTCTGTGTGACTTATAACATATTTGCCCATGATGACCGCTTGTGCTGCTTCTAGTTTAGTCTATTAGAAATAATCCCGCTATGACTCTACAGTGGGTTACTAAATCCTAAAAGCAAAACTGCTTGTTTTCTTTTAAAATAGTGAAAATTCTGGTGGAAAATTGTTACATTTACTCAAAGAAATGCAAGATTCTACTCAGTATTGCAAAGTTTTAATTCTCCCAAAGAATTGTAATGCTTAATTGTTGGACTATGAGTCCTTGAAGGTATAATCTTGAACATAGTTACTTTCCTTTACCTTCTATGCATATTTTATCATAATAGGAGTTAAAAATCTGACAAAGAAAGAGGGGCTGTGAAGAATATGCTGTACAAATATATTGCTTATATTTTGTAGCTTTGAATAAATATAAAATATTTACCATTTGAATTTCAGTTTTCAATCTTTGGAAATTGCTTTTCATTAATTGCCCACAGGAAAAATGTATAACTAGTTACAAAAGAATATTTTAATTTGAGTCACATTGTTTTAAACAAAAAATATGTTAAAAGCATGTTAGTGAAATATTGCTTTGAATTTATATTGCCTTGGTTTAGTTTATCAGATTAACTTTGTTACTTTGAGTTGTAAAGGTTAAATTTTTCAGCAATTGGATTAATGGAGAGGAAGTTTAAAAAGGAAATAAGGAAAACCATTTCTACCAGTGGTGATCTTTGTCACCCTAATGGAGAGAAAGTGGAAAGTAAAACTGATTAAACTTTTGGACAATATGTCTTGTCTGAAAAACTGTATAAAATGATGACTTTCTAAAAAAACTGTGGATTTTTAGGGGGACTGTTAACCATAGTTTACTTGCTTCTCACTTTTCTTTTAGCAGTTGCACAATTTTCAAGCCAGAGTAAAATGGTATCAATATGATGATGCGTATTCCCTGACTTGTGTTAAGTGAAGTCTGTCAAGGTAGCAAAACAGACAAGACTGAATATTAGTTAAGGGAAGTTCGTTTTAATGCATACTGTCTTGGTTTTAAAATCACATAACATAATCTGAATATACATGTAAAGACAATTATTGTGCTGCTAAAGAATAAGATGAAATATCATTATGAAAAATGCCTGCATTGCATCTGTTCACTCAGAATCCAGTGACAGCCCATCAACCAAATAAAACATACTCCATACATAGATTTATATGGGAATATATATATATATATATATATGATGTTGCATTTGAAAATCAATAGTTAGATGAACTGAAAATGACTGAATCTATTATAAGGTTTCACATTTCCTTTACACTGTATAAAATTATCCCTTAAGTGTTTGTCATTGTCAATATGTGCAAAATAGTCTTCTCTTAAAGGAAATGCAAAAAGCAAGAGCAACTGCCAGATTATATAAAAATATTAAATAGAGCAAAGAAATAGGACACAGTCCCAAACAAAATAAACCCACGCGATTTTTGGCTAAAAGACTTACATGCTGAAAGGTAAAAAAAGTACTTTTTGTTCTGTTACATATTCATTCACTGATGTCTCTGAAAAATGGTAGTAATAACTAGCCTTAGTACCCATTTCTAAATTATCTAGGGGCTGAGATTTGTAAAGAAAATACAGTAAAACACAAACAAAGGCATCCCGCCTGACTTGGCTGCATGAAGGTGTGCACAAGAGGCCAGAGGGCACCTGGCTGACTGTATGATGTGACCAGTTGCCTTTGCTTGTGGGGCTCCTGTTGTCATCCTGTTCGTGGTTGCCGTACTGACTCAGGGAAGGCCAGGCAATAGCACTTGCCAATGTGCTGTCTCTCTGTTCTAAAAACACCCTAGGAGAGACAGCTTTACAAAGAGTCTTCTCAGGGCTTTATGCAACTCTGTTCAGAGAGCTTCACAAATGGGAAGGCTCAGTGCCATTCTGCTGCCTAGGGGTCATTCTCTGCCAGTCAAATGAGAGGGGAGCTGCCTGGATACTTCTCTGACTCACCACTGCCCCTTTGAACAAACGGGGGAAAGCATTTTAGTAGAGAGGTAGACAAGTTTCAAATTTAAAAATTAAAACATGGATTATTGTGTAGACTTCATCTAAATATAATCATGTCAGGTCGAAACACACGACACATCAATTACAAAACTAGCCTAAATTAAGGCAAATCATTTAAGTCTTGATAAAATTAATCATATATTGAGTAAAAATGAATAGCTGGATATGTAAAATGATTACTAAACAAAAAAACAGTTAATGATATTTTCTACAGAACCCAACTCATTGTAATTTGTCCTCATAAATCACAGTTATTACACTCCTATACAACAATGCTCATTGTAGTGACCCCATTGAACCAAAAGGTAAAAAGTTTACTTGTGGTCTGAATAAATTAATAAATGACAGGCTTATCTCTACCTCCAAATAAGAACTGCGCAAGATTTAAACAAATATTTTTTTTACGTATTTTTGAAGAAATTCTATACAGAACTAATTTTATTCAGTCTTATGATTAACTGAATTTCTGTATATATCTATGTTAAAATATATATAAATATTACATACATCAATGGATATTAACTCAGAAGCATTGAAGTGAAACGTACTCTGAATGAAATTAAATGAAGTATTTCTTAGAACTGAGGAAAAATGAAGTATTAACTAAATTCTTTGATGACTCATTCTGGTCTATGGAATCAAAAGTGACATTATAAAACAAATGTAAAGCAAGTGAATTCAAAATAACCTGTAATTAATAGGTGACTTATGAGTAATTCAAATTTCTGAATATGTAAAGGAGATTATACCCTTAAAAATACAAATGGACATAAATATACAAGTTTCTATCCCTTGCAATTATAATACTATTAAAAATGTTTAAAATAGGACTGATGTTAAAAATATTTTATAAACGTTATACATGCATCTATTTATACAAGTTCTCAGCTGTCCTTAGTCTTAAAGTGAATTTTAATAAACTGCTTTGTAGAAGAATTGAAAATAATGCGTATCTTCATTACCTGAATATTTGATTTTCATCTTTTGACATTTTCAGCAATAAATTTACCTGATGGTAAAAAGCTTTAACAATGCATATCACCACGAAATAAAGGAGCACTAAACAATGAAATAAGGTTGAAATTCCTAAAATATTAAAAACTAGACATCTCTTTTAGAAAATTGTAGTAGATCTTTAGGTGTTCTATTTTATTTTTTAATTTGAAATACTTATAGATTCACAAGAAGTTGCAAGAGAGTATAGAGAGGACCCTCGTAGTCCCTCACCCAGTTCCCTCAATGGTGACATCTTACATAATTACAGTGTGATATCAAAGCCAGGAATTCAATAGTGGCACACAGATGTAGATTCACCCATACCCAACAATTCCCTTACCCTAAAGCTCTCACTGTTGCCACCCCTTTATAGTTACGCCCACCTCTCAGGAAGAGAGCGGAACCCCATCCCTGACGCCTGGCAACCACTAACAGTTCTCTATTGATAAATGGAATTACACAGTGTGAGTCCTTTTGAAATTATCTTTTTTCACTTAGCATAATGCATTTTGGATTCATCCATGGGGTTGTGTGTATCAATAGCTCATTTCTTTTTACTGTTGATAGTAGTCCATGGTATTGATATATCAGATTTTTTTTATCCATTGACCTATCGAGGGACATTTGGTTGTTTCCAGTTTGTTTCATTATTAAAAAATAAAGCATCTAGTTACAGGTTTTTGCGTAGATCTGAGGTGATTTGAGATTTCTAAAATGCATTATGAAGTAAAAAAAAACAAAGGACGACGTAAATAGGATATATATTAGGCTCTCAGCTGTATGCAGAAAGTACTACTAATGATAACATAGAAATAGCTGGGGGAGGCTGCAGATATTTGGGCATTTCCGCTAAGACTAGCACTTTTTAAACAAAATCATCTATTTAGCACTGCTTCCTCTAATTCTGTATTTGTTACCATTTTTTTCATTATTGTCCCCTAAAGAGACAGTACAGACATTTTTTCATAATCACTCCCTTCCTCCATGACATTTTAATGCCACAGATATGCTGGACACCTGTTTAGGTACTCTGTGTATATCTGTACTTTATGCATAAAAAGAGTGAGTTTATTTTTCATCACAAGAACTATTTTTCACCCTCTGGTAGTCATATCAATGCCTAGCTAAGAATACACGCTCCAAAGTCATGAGAACCCATCAGTGAGAAGAGTGTGGCGTACGTGCTTGGGGCAGAAGTGCTAGATTGCCAACAGCTGGCATCTGTTTAAAATGTTTGCTCCCTTTCCAAACAATGGCACAGAGTCAACGCCCAGGATGGTCCCCCATGTTAGAACTTGATTCCTTTTCTGTGTGTGAGTGTGTGTGTACGTATAAGCCTTTGGAAGTATGTATTGTATGCCTGTATTCATGGGTAAGTAAAAGAACAATGTTGAAAGGAAACCCAAGAAACCAATAAACATGAGTGGGAATGGGAGTCTCAGAGGGAAAAACAAACATACACTTTTTATTAAACAATTTTTAGTTTCAGTTTTTCTTTTTAATGCAATATGCATTATTACTTTTTAAGTGGAAATAGTTTAAAAATTACTGTGTAAAATTCAAATTCCATTATGTACAGTAGCCATTTATTATTCTAATACCTGAATACAGAAGTCCACACAAGAGACATTTACAAAATAAAATAAAACCCTCAGTAACTGTTCAAGATACATGTAAGTATCTTGACTATCCAGTGCACAGGGTCTGTCACTGAGACTTCCTCATTGCAGATAAACACAGCCCAGTGTGTTTTGCTATTTAGATTGTAATATGTCCTCTGGGTACAGATTCAGTAAACTAGGCAGGAGTGTTTTATACTACCATACATCTAGCCTATAGCACAAAATTTACAGTTGCTTCTGAACTATTTCTTAAAGAGTTACTCATAGACATAAAATATTGGTTAAATAATACTGTCCTCTTCCTGTATTCCCTAAACAATTCTCTAAGATCTGCTATTATTTTTAAGAATTCCCTAACAAACATCTATAAAAAATAAAGATAGCCAACCCAAAATCAATTTGATTCTCCCAAAACTGAAAAGATGAAATCAATTTAAATAGAGTGCTAAAATAAATACATTGTGAGTGAAATAACTTACTTAGATACCGTGGAAGTTATAACACACAATAGTTTTTATTCTTAAAATCTCTCTTATTCAAGTGATACCCAGTGGGCTTGCATCTGCTCACTCTTGATACCTCAAGCTTTGTCCAGGAGATAGATACAAAAACTCAACATAGAGCAGAGAGTGGGAGGCAGGGAACAGGCCCAAAGCCATGGAGTGGAACTGAGCAGATGAATGCTGCATGAAGGTGGCAGGACATATGGCAAAGTAGCAGGAGCTTCCTCACCTCTCACTGTTGCTTCTAACACTATTGTTCCTGAGGACTAGGCACAATGCCACCTGTTCTCCTTTCTCCTACATCTATTCTGAGTCCGCCCTGGAACAGTGAAAGATCTTCAATAAGTGTTAATATGATTGATGGTCTTCATCATCATCATTTTTGCCAATCTCAGCTGCTTAAGCTGCTATGACAAGGCTGCCAAAGTTCTTGAGAGAACTGTATCTCATTTACAATAGAGCTAAGAGCCCCAAATTTAGGCCTAAGTTAATTTTTTCAGAATTAACTGGATGCTTAACTAATTGTCCAATAAATTGTGCTGAAGGAGGCAGGGCACATGAATTTTCTACCTTCCAAAGTTAATTGCCATCAACTCCTAATTGTACTGTGGCTTGAGAAAGTCTCACGCATGGGCAGTGATAAAAATAATAAATACGAGAAGAAATAACCCTTGTAGCTGTTACTAATGTTTCCAACCTTATAAGAAATACAAAATCATTTTAACCACATTGTGATTCCTCATCAGTTTGGGTTTACATTTTATTACCCAGTGTGCAGGAAAGTTTATATTTATATGAGTCACACTATTTGGTAACTTAAGTCTGTATAATTTTGGAAGTTTAAAGTTTGTTCATCTATTACGAAAATTTTCCCATTTATTCTATAAAAATCTGTTTTTATATATCAAAAAAAATCAAAAGTCACTTACATTTGCTGAAAGTTGTGATGTGAGGGTGGCAACTTTTTCTTGTGATGCAACCAGCTCTCTCCGCAGTTTATGGATTTGCTGAATGTAATTTAAAAAAAAACAATTTAATATGCTAGTAGATTTCTACTTAAAGCTGAGAATTCAATCCAACAAAGCAAATACTATGGTTAGCTCACTCTACCCCCGCTGTATCAGCGCCAATTCCTAAAAATTAAAGAAATGTGAACACCGGCCACACAGTAACAATCAAATACCACTTATGAGAAGAGAATGTAACTATTTTCAAGCTTGGGACCAAATCTGCAAATTAAAGGATACTAGTTCCACTTGGCATCCCTGCCTGACTCAAGAATCAGTTTATGTTCTCTACTGATTCTTCTACCTCCAGAATTTCTAGTAATAAGACTCAGGTAGTAAAATCTTTCCTTTTTAAAAATTAAATTTACTTATACATATTTTTTCTGGACCTTTTTTTAGCAAAGAGTACTCCATGCTATTTTTCTGTCAATTTTCATGTATTTTAATTTTCTATAATTTGGCAAGTTCTCAGAAGCTGCAGAATACCCTGCAGTCACTGAAAGTTAGCTCCAATTCAGCATTCAATGATTCCATATTTGAAAATAATTTTATTGGCTGAAGTTTCACTGACTAACACCCAGAGAAGCCTTACCAAATCTTTATTACATTACCCTTTATCCAGTGAGTTCCTATTAGCTCGACCGGAAATGCTTTATAGATTACCCATAGTTTAAAAGTAAGCATAAAATTAGTAATATTGTGCAAATAACTAGATAAACTAACAAAACAAATATGCTAAAAAGTTTTCCTTTTTAGTTAAGTTCCCACTCTACTAAAATTGAACCAGAAAAAGGTAAGAGTATATCAAATCATATTTGAATTTCAATGTAAACACTTTCCGAACTTTAATCTGCACGTCTCATGTTGCCACGAAATGTAAACAGTGATAAGTAAGTGAAAAGCATTTACAACATCTGAGAGGAAGTCTACAAGCACACTTCCAGTTGCAAGAGATTTTAGCTAAATAGATGCCAAACATTCTACTCTAATTCTCATTTCTTCAAAAACAAGCCTTCCATTGTTCTGGTTGGACTTTCGGAATACTGACTCAGTTTGAAAGAGCATTCCTGACACAGTTCAGTAACCATCTTTTTTTCTTCTTACACATTAGATTTTTGTAGAGGAGAAATATTGGTCAATATCAAGAGACTCTAAAAAAGAAGTGGATTGAAGCAGAGACAGTGAATATTTACATAATTTGGGCAAATGTGATTCCATTTCACTCTTTTTCCTTTTTATTTTAAAGATTTTATTGTTTCCTTTTTCTCCCCAAAGCCCCCGGTACATAGTTGTATATTCTTCGTTGTGGGTCCTTCTAGTTGTGGCATGTGGGACGCTGCCTCAGCGTGGTTTGATGAGCAGTGCCATGTCCGCACCCAGGATTCGAACCAACGAAACAATGGGCCGCCTGCAGCAGAGCGCGCGAACTTAACCACTCGGCCACAGGGCCAGCCCCTCACTCATGTTTTTTAAAGAGGTACATTCAGCCCCAAAGAGCATTTGAGTTACATTCAAATGATGACCCCAAATAGTTCAAGAAAGCGGAGCATGTATTTCATTTTTAAACCAAAACAAACTCAAAGAGCCTTTCTCAAATTAATAGTCTCTATTATATGATCCTATTTCCTTTAAAATATACCCTAGGAAAACTTAAAATAATGTAAGTTATTTTTTAAAAACCGTGATCCCTTATGTGGCATAAATGATAAAAGAGGAGTCTGATAACTACTAATACAGCAAAGAGATGTGGCATTTCTACACCTCAGTAGCTATATTACGATCAGTATTAGGAGCTTTACCACATCCATGCAATGTAAATCAAATAGATTAGATTTTTTTAAGACCATATTCAGTCTTCATTCTAGTAATTATAAAGATCAAATTGCTATAATCTATACTTTTTCAATATTTTTAAACGCAGCAAAAATATTACTTAAAAGTAAATAAATAAAGATAAAGTGAGACTTAAAAGGAAAGAGTTCCTTTGCAGAGGCTGTCACCAATGCATTTATCTTCTCTGTGGTCTGATTGTCTCAGTGTAAACCAATCAAATAGTCATTAGCACACTTTGAATAAAGGCCTAATTAAAGTCCTCCTGCTTTACTTGGCCAGGTCAGGCTCACACAAAGGGAGAGAAAGAATGTTAGCCCCAGGCTGCAATCGGATTTGTGTGTGATTGCAATGAAGTGTGTATTTGCGAAATGTGTGTGATTAGAACAATACAGCACATTAAACATAAAGTGGTGATTACAAGTAGCACAGTCCTGGCACCAAAGAGATGGACTGGATGCTGGTAGCCTGCATTGTGGAGGTCTAATGCCTAAGAGGCAATAGTCTCCTCTATCCAATACCGTTAGTCTCACAGGCAGTGGGGAAAAGGGACTAGAATCAAATAGAAAGACAACACATTCATTCATTCACCAAAGATTGAACGAGTGCTTACTACTAGAGACAGGTTATTAGCTGTTGAGCTAAGATTACATTCTGATATGTGAGAAGAGAGTTTGCTTCTCAAAACTTCCTTTCATTTTCTTTTAAGAGGAAATATCCAAGACTATCTGTCAACTAGCTGGGTCATTTCTATCAGCAGTGCTGGAGAGTTATGCTACTGTATCACACCGCCCCCTAGTGTTAGAAACACTCATTTCATCATAAACGTAAATGAAAAGAGTCAAATATAAAAATGCTGTGTTTTTAATTTTTTACCTCTGAATGAGCCTTTTCTTCAGCCTGTAAAAGAGAAAATGGAAAAGAATTTAACTATCATGTTAATTCATTCTACAAGTACAAATGAATAAAGTAATTATATTGTGTATTTAAAATGTTATGGCCTAACATAAGAATATAGAAAAATATATAACATTATTAACTTAAAATAGTAAAAACAGGGACTTTTAGGATTGCAAACAAATATTTCTTTATATACAAACCATATGGTATTTTTAAAATATAGGTTATTTGAATCAAGGATGTATAATATACCTTAAAAGCGAGGAATAGAATTAAAAGACAGTGTTACTCTAAGATCCAGACCGTAAGCAACAAAAACAAAATAGTTATAAAAGTATACTCTGAAAAATATGGGTGAAGGAAAAAAATGAAATATTGGATTTTTAAAATACACATTGTAGAAAAGGGACCCCATGAAATTAAAGAGATCTTCAGCCAAGACTTAGGAGTCAGAATTGGATTCTGTGATTTATAGATCATAAAGGATGCCAAATAAAGCTGGAGGGAAAATGTTGACCTGATAACTACTGAAAATCATCTTATTAATTTCTATTTTCTTTTACTTTTCCTAATGATTATTAAGTAAGTTTGGTGGGCTGCAAGTCAGCAAAACATGCAAATGGCCCACATTCAGGTGGTGATAAGAGGGGCTGATAAATATCTGGGCGTGCGGATTACAGAGGAAGTCAGGACCACTGTGAGGACCTGAGGGTGTTTTGGCCTTGGTTGCATAAAACTCCTAGCTCTGTTTTCCTCCTTCACGCTGGTCTGCAAAATGTCAGGAAATGCTTTATGTGCCTCATTACATTTGAGAAGCTCCCTCATTCTGGAAAAACCTGGAGAATGTACGATCTTACTGAACAGTACAGGTCTGCTCATTGCCTTGAGCAGATCCAAAGCTGAAAACAAATCTCTCATTTCCTCTCTCTCCTTTTGGGACATTTCCTGATTAATTGATGCAGAAGTACCTCAACCACTTTTTCTCTCTTCTTTTTCTCCATAAAACATAAAACAAAACAAAGTAAAATAAACAGTAAGATATTTTTTATGCATAAGCATCTCTTGCGTGTTTGTTTTTCCTGTATTTTTCTACTTTTGAAGATCATGTATAGTTAACAATATAGTGGTTAAATAATAGAGTGGTTAAGTAGCAGAATCCAAATAGTCTTTATAAGAAAACTTTATTTTCAAAATAAATGCTAATATAAAGCTTGAATATTTTACATCTCAATTTTAGTTTTTTAAGTGATGGTTTTATTTTTTAATTCTAATGATTTCAAGGTTTCATACTGTTCATTTAAATCAGAAGTAGGGACGGGCTTTAAGATAGAAATTTCATAAAATCAAAAGCAAGCTGGAGGTTGTTTGCCTTAAGACATATGGCACAATTAACTATGACTACTTGTTTTCTCTACAATTTTGCATATTTATTGCCAGTTTATTCTGCTGAAATCCTGCTTCTAGGCCTGCTAGGATTCTAGAAAACTGATACTCAATAAATAATTTGTGTATTTATAAAAAGCAATATATCCTAGTTTTTTAAAAAAAAGAGTCAAAAAAGACCTTCATCACATTTTTTCATTTAAAAAATCCCGAATAAGTTACATATACTAGACATAATCAAAACTATTACATATCAATTCTATATATACTGTATATAATGACTTTCCTCATTGCTAGCTTTTCAGAACTATCTTTTTCTTTAATCTTTCCCTTCTTTCATACCTTGTGGTTATTAATACTGGGTAGGTGGTACCATAAAGTTGAAGCAATGAGCCAGAATATTAATATTATATTTCTTTCAGTAGTTGGGTGTGGGACTAATGATATCATGATGGAATGTGATTACTTGCCATTTTTAAATGATGCTTTTGAACCAGGCCCAATGTCCTGAAGGATGGTGAACAATACAAAACACTTCGCCTAAATAAAATATATCAGATGATTTTTTTTATTCTGTAAGCCACTAATTGGCCATTCATTCATCCATTCAAACTTACTAATTAAAAAATATTTACTTTAGTACTAGCTACGTGTTAGGAAATATGCTAAAGGGATCTACAATGAACTAAGTGTGGCTCTTGCTCTAACTAAACCAACACAAATTAGACTCCAAGTACAAAATGTTTTTTTTAGGTTTTAATATACATCCAAGCAGAAAACACCTATTGCAAGGATCACAAATGTAAATGCTTCAGAGGACCAGGCATATAAAGAATAAAAAGGACCCTGAGTATTAAAAGAAGAAGTGACACAGCCTTCCTAAGCTATCTTTTATTTTCTCACTTTTCATAATTATATGGATAATGAGAAGTATTTCTTTCCTGTGAGAAATGCAACAGCACAATAATAACTAACGACCCAGACTCAGCCACCGTGTCAGGAAGAAAAGAGAATCCCTGGAGGCTGGGGCCGGGCCGGGCAATTGCCAGCACCTAAAGGGGGCCGTGAGGTGACTGTAAATCTGGAGGAATTTCATCTCGGTCTCGCTAGACATTCCAATTACTTTAAAAAGGAACTTAGAAATTTTAATTTTTAGGTAAAAGGTCCAGATTTCACAGTGTTGCCTTGAATTTAAAAACAAACACGCAAACTCTAAATTTGCCAAAGGTAACAACTTGGAAGATCAGATTGGGCCTGTGATTTCCAACCAATTTGCAGCCTCCCTGAAGCTTCCTGCTCAGAAATTCTATAAGGTGACTAACTTAACTTTATAACAAGATACTTTTGAAAAATTTACCAAATTGTAAGTGGCAGTGGCTTTAAAAGAACTATATGTGAAGAGAGAATCCTTCTACTGGAATTTGTCAGATTAGTGATTTTACTGGTAAATATTCTTTGCAGCAAATTGTCTTTGTTATTTTGTTTCAATATTTTTTTAAAAGATTTTATTTTTTTCCTTTTTCTCCCCAAAGCCCCCCAGTACATAGTTGTATATTCTTCGTTGTGGGCCCTTCTAGTTGTGGCATGTGGGACGCTGCCTCAGCGTGGTTTGATGAGCAGTGCCACGTCTGCGCCCAGGATTCGAACGAACGAAACACTGGACTGCCTGCAGCGGAGCGCGTGAACTTAACCACTCGGCCACGGGGCCAGCCCCTTTGTTTTAATATTTTTAAGCAAAATACATAATTCCATAAGTTGCATAAATGAGAATATTAGAGTAAACATGGTTTATACTCATGGTTAATAAGAGCAGTTTTTTGCCTAGTAGGAGCAAATAGTGCCTAATATTCTGCTAAAAAAAGAGTTTTTCCCAAACATTTTAAGAAGGAATACCATGCACAGCTGTGTTAGTTGTGCACTGCATAACTTCAGAAGGTACAGTTCACATGGATATGACACAAGTGGTGCTCCCTAGAACCATACAGTTTACAATTTCTGGTAATTTATGGTATACAATGTCCCTGAGCTTCCCTAGCTGCTGCAGAAAACCCCTGGGACAGATCAATAGATCTGGTTGTTGTTTTAAATTTTATTTTATAAGCATAGTCCAAGGAAATTTAACAATTTGCCTGATGTCACACAATAATTACTGATTGAATCAGACAAGAATACAAATCAATTGAATCTTTACGCGGTCCTTAAAAAGGCATGAAGAATAATGAAGAATTGCTTTTGCACTTCACGGTTTGAAAAGCACTTTCACAGATGTTTTTCATTGCCAGTCAGTGCATGACAATGGGGGAGTAGAGACAGAATGATTCCTTATCATCTTTGATTTTTCTCCTAATTACTCCTCCAAATACGCGTTTACTTGAATTGTTTTACTACAAGTTATTTGTCAATTCAAGTGTTATATAATTTCTGTCATTTCTAATACAACCATTTAAATTTCCTAGTAATATCACCTTCTCACATGGCTTAATCACCTAATCCATTCTTTTCACACTTAACAGCAGGGCTTATCTCATCTGTAAATGTTGGCCTACAAATATGTGTATATAGTCTCTTTATTTCAATCTGTATTCCCACTTCATATTGTACTCTTAATACGATACTTCTCATCTATGCTTTCTAAGTGTACTTATTATTTTGACATCTGCTCCTATATATCCACAGATTTGTAAATGTACTCCTATAGTCCCCATAAAATTCCAATATCCAATATAGTAGCCACTAGGTACATGTGCCTACTTAAATTTAAATTAATTAAAATTAAAAATTCACTTCCTCTGTCACACCATACACATTTCAAATACTCAAGGGCTACACGCAGCTGGAAAGTCGACCGGACCCTGGTACATACTAGTTACCACTTGTTTTCCTTCACTGCATGCTCTTTCTCTTCTTGAGCATTTCTCAGGCTTCGCGAAGGTCATTTTTTATCCAAATATTGTTTTTGTATATATTTAAAATATGATTATAATGATTTTGCATCTTTCAATGTCACATAGAGACTTCAGCTGCAAAGGCTTTTGTCCGAACACCGCTCCCGACAAGCAGCTGCACTGGCCCAAAAGGAGTCCACCGTGCCTTCATGTGTTTCTTTTATGTGTTTTTTCCAACACATTTTCACATTTCTCACTTCATCTATTTGCTTAAAACAGTAGATTTATCTAAACACTAATAGTTATTTCTTCATTTATAGAATCTATTAGCAATTTTAATCAAAAGCAGAAATAAGAAAAATATCACTTGTGCCAATGATAGTCTGATATTAAGTAACTATCTAAAGCAATAAATATAAAAAGAGGGCCACAACATTTGAACCTAATGAAAATGAGTGAAAAATTAGTCTTGCCCTTAATGCTTAATTGATCAGTGACAGCAGAGGCTGTGAACATTTCATGACCCTTCCAATATGAGATAAGGATTATCCACAGTACTCAAGTGTCAGTGAGATGCATAAAGTAAATACACCTCACCCTTACCTAGGCATGAAGGAACCCTCTTGTAAAACATAAATTCCTGTAGACTGTTTTTTCATAGAGATGAAATTAAGTGGACAGAAAATTCATCTTGGCAAAAATAAAATATAATTTCACACATTGAGAAAATAAACTGACGTTTTAGCATTTCTCTCATAAGAAATGAAGTTTTTAAAATCACACTCTATTTCAGAAGATATATTTTAAGAAATATCTAGGCCTTTTAAGCCTTTACCTTTCTCAATATTCTCAAAAAATGAAATTAAAAAATAAAATGGGGGAAATGCTATAGAACAATTACCAGTCATGACTCAGAGAAGCAAACAAGGAAAAGTAGTCCATATTATAAGGTTATGGTAGAGCATAGTACCTGGTTTCAGGGATTCTGAGTCATAGTCCAACAGGTTTTATGAAATTCAGTTTTCCATCCATTCATTGATTATAATGAGTACACAAAAGTCAAATGGAAGCACACAGAAGTGGGCCACAGAGGGCTGGTAAGCACCTGCTGGCTTACTGGGCATGCAGTAGCTTAGAGTATGCCCTTATTTCACTGTGCAACTTCTGTGTAAATGTCAATCTATTTAACTACTTGTGTGCTTGGCAAAAGCAGACGCTTTTTCTTAATAGCCAATACTTACTGTAGAGTAAAGAGAAGAAGTGCTGGAGACCAGTGATAACGAAGAGCCGTGAACTGGAGAGAGCAAAAAAGGACAAGAGGTAAAATAACGAAGTCTGCTCAGAAACACCAGGCCTTTACTGAAAAGTGAAGAATAGGTGGTTAAGGAAATAAACAACAGCTAGATACAAGAATCTGAGGACAATTCTGTTGTCATTTTTTTGAGATCAAAATATCAGGATATAATTCACTGTCTGTCACAATGAATTCATACGGTTTGGCTGATATCCTGAAAGGAAAGGTCGTGGCGATTGTGGTCAGCTGACTTTGTGCCAACGTGATAAATGTCCAGTGGTGACCTGCAAACCATGAGCCAATTCTCATAGCTGTCTAAACTTGTAGTCAGAAGAGACTTCAAATAAGAAGGTGGTAAAGGGGAAAGCGAAAGGAACAGAACTATTCTTTACACTATTTTCACCCTCATGACAAATCTGTGAAATTACAGATGCAGAAATTAGCGCTAAAAAAGTGAGAAAATGTGCCCAAGTTCACACCACAAATGCCTGGCCACCAGAAGCTTAAACTCTGGTTTTACACGTAATTATGAAGGACTAGGACAGCAAGGATGATTTCATTCTAATCAGCCTGAGCTTCTACGTTTAGTTTTATGTTCTCCTGAGTTGATATGCTTCATAATATGTGTGCCACAATTTTCTTTTATGGATACTTAAAGAAATCATCCATTAAATCAAAGAGGAAAAGCTCTCAAATATTATGATCAAATGTGATATTTGAGGTTGTATATTTTAGGAAATTATATACATTTGAACATCAATCAAGCCTCCTGAGTTTTTCAAATAGATTTATTATAAAGTATTCACATAGAACTTTACTGCATTGGATAAGGAAACATAATTTACAAAGCAAAAGCAGATACAACATGAATTCTAAAATGACATGATGACAAAAACTAACATCAGAGGGAGTTTCTGAGAATAAAAGTTGGCAGCATGTGGTAGTTTCATAAGACAATTTTTCCAGTTTATGTATCTTTCTGGTTCTTTGAGGTGTGAAACAAAACATTCACTCTGATATTTGACACAGCTGGGCAAATAGTCTCTAAAATTATGGGGATTTCTGTATGAGAACATTGGATTTATTCTGACCTGTGCTCTAGCCAAGTATTAATCTAAACAATTTCTGGCATATCTCCAAATGCAAAAAGAAACAGAAGGTAATGCAGATCAAAATTTCCTCAAGCTTCGGGCTCCCCAGATGAGAGTTATACTTACTTATTTATTTGCTCTTCAGGAATCCTTGCGATGTGAGTGATGTGATAGTTTCATCTCTGAGTTAAATAACTTCATCTTTGTTTCCCCCCATGCCTACCTTCTTCCATGCTGTCTCTAAATGAGCCTGAATGACTGATGGCACGGGGCCTCTCCTCCAGAGACGTGGCACTCCCGCAAAGCTGGGAGTCATCGTAGAGATCAAAGGACGAGTCTTGGGCTGGGATGCTGTTGGAGCGCATCATGCTGGGCCCAGGAAGGTTAAATTGAGACAGATTGGTTGGGCTCACTGAAAAACAAGCACACAGAGCCTATTATTCTAGGGCCTGCTTGATGAAAATAGTAGGTTGATAGAGTGGGAACGTGATCCCAATTCTGATGGAAACATGAATTTATAGGCTGTCCCTATTTAAGGTAGGCCAAGAGTCTCCCTCTGAAATATTCAGTGCGAGTTACAGCAGAGGCTCTATTTTCTCCTAGTGCTGTCATGGCCAACAGCGTGTCAATTTCTAAAGGGACATTAGACAAAACCACACAGCGACCTCTACTGCTCATGCTGGAAATAGAATAACATGGCATTTTTTTGCTGGCCATTATGAAGAAAAGATTGTCTCCCTAGAGTTTTGAGCCTTCTTTTTGAGAAGAATACATTATTTTAATGGGAAAAGCAAAATAGAAACAAAAATAAAACACAGGAAATCTAAGTTTCCTGAGAAGAGACTTTCGAAGCTTCCAAAGCAAAGACTTTCAGTCATTTTGAGCTCCGAATTTTTGTTCATGGTCAGTACCATCATTATTATCAGAGTTAGGTTATAATCAAGGAAAATATAATTCTTCTTTAAATGAAATATAATGTAATGTACATGGTTTCCATAGCTTGTCATAAGGTTTGCCACAGAAAACTCTTTTCCGCTGTATCTTAGATCAGATGCACAGTGAGACAGTCAAAGGGCACAAACTTGCTGTACTTCCAAAGCAGTACCTCAAGTCTGTAATTCGAAATAAGAACTTATTTATCTAGTGCCTTTTGCCAAATAGTTCTAATGACACCCACCTTTTTTAGGCCAACTGATAATCAGTAATTTAAAGAAGGATGTGATAGATTAAATGTACAATTACATTGCAAGACCATACTGTTTTAAAATTTGAAATGAAAGCAAAGCAGAAAGGTTGAGAAATATCGTTATCATAAATGCTCATATTAAAGAAAAACAAGCTGTTACAGGTATATGAAGAAGCAGACAGGGACCTCCTAAGATATGAAGGGAATGTTGAGTACTTTCAAAACCTTGGGGAATTTGTGTTATTGGCTTAGAAGAAGTCTGATATCATTTCAAAACTCGCTATCTTCTTTTTCCTTTGACACAGGCACTACACTTCTTAATATAATTACTGGCTCTCAAAACAATGTAAAATAGGAGGGGTACATACCCTGAGTAACTAAAGGGGAATATCTCCTATTTGCCAGGCACTGTGCTAGATATTTTGTCGGTATTAACGGAATCAACACACAAAACAACCCTCTGATACAGCTAGTTATGGATTGGAGTAAAAGAAGAATGATAAAAAAGAAAGCAACACAAAACTAAGAATTACATCTATGTGTACACATGTGAAACATAATAAAAAAGAAAAACTACGGATTTGCAAAGTGCACAATCCATTGGAAGGAAGGAAAGAAAGAAAAAGAATAAGAAAAGGAGAGAGAGAATGAGAGAGAGAAATCTTCCAGGCCCATTTCAGAGCCAGTAGTGACCAGTTCAATCTGATTACTGATGCTGGCCAGTAGACACACTATAGGACATTCAAGACCTGAAAGTTTATGTTTAAGATCCTAGATTGGAGTAAATAGTCCTATTTTAGGTCCACAGTATAAGCTGACTCTTTGCTAAATAAATTAAGTATTCAATACTTTTGCAGATGTGTCATTTTAACATATATGTTTCCAGAGGTTAGAAGGACATTTCATTCACTGTTTAGTTTTGCATAATTCTCACCAAAATGATTGCAGAGATATCCACGTGAAGTGTCATTCTGGAATTTCAAAACATAACGCTTAGCTCATCCAAGGAGAAATATTAATGAGGATTAGGGTGGACTTTAAAGGGAATAGTTGCATTTACAAACATTTTGATAGCTTCTCCATTGGAAACATACCCATACTACTTAAGAATGTTCACTTAAGTTAATATCTATAACGGGTCTGTTCTTTGGTGTTGTGGTTGAATAGAAAGATAAATATGAGACGGTCCCTGACTTCAAGAGTGGCCCCTAGGGGAGATGAATGAAAGGTAGATATGTTAACCTGTAAAGTAGACCAAGAAAAGTTATATAATAGAGGACAAAAGTATGACTTACAAAGAGAATTTCTTTAATGGGACACAAATTGGTACAGGGCTTTCAATGGTGGCTTTGCTTTCTATTTGCTTCAGGCAAATATCTCAATCTCTATCCTTTAGTTTCTTCATGAATAAAAACAAAAAATTACAGAATAACTGGCCTCAAAGATCCATTTAAAGCCAGGAGACACATTAAAATTTCTAAATAGGAGAGAGAGAGATGTGGCAATCTTTTAGGGAAAAGAAGGGCACTGACTTTGTCTTAAATTATATTTAGAGCAAAGCCACTCTTTTTATTAAATTATATGCTTATTTGTGGTGATTTGAGGAGAACAGGAACTGAGAGAAATGTGAAGAGGGTTTTTAAATGCCTCCAATTCACTCCCTGACTCTGCTACTATATATAAACATATTAGCTAGTGAGTTTACAATATTGTTTTAAATAATAAAAGACTTTTCATGTGGAATCTAATTTTAACTTATTTTGTGGAATCTAGGTACATTACTAGGAATGACAGCTGGAGATTTAGGAAAATCTTTTTGATCTTCTAAAGGAACAACTTCAAAAGTGCGATGTATCTAGATTTAGGTAGTTTCTGCCATTGGTGGGTTTAGAGAAGAGGCTAGAGATGTCATAAGAATTTACATAATAGATGAACGATTCAAGTAGAGGTAGGTCTCCTCTGACTCTGAGATCTATGTGCCCATGAGTATAGAAGAAAGGGTTAATTCCGAATAGCTTGAAGGGTGAATATAGAGAGGGGAATAGAAAGACATTCAAAGTCAAAGGAGCCTTGGGAGCAAAAGCATAGAAGCTTCCCATGGAAAGGTGTTTAAACATCCCTCCATGAAAAAGGCTCATCAAATGTACGGAATCTGGACGTGACAGATTGATAGTAATGCAGAATCTGAACAATTGTCATCACTCATGGGAACATGACAATGAGTCTCACTAGGTTATGAGATCCTCACAAGCACTGTGACAAACAGTAAGTGAAGTTTCATCCTCAATTTTTTTTTTACATGAGTTATGTTCTGCTATGTTTTCTTGAGGAGGAATGGTTTCTGTTATAGCTATCTTGCCAAGAACTATACTATACACACACCGTAGTTTACATTGGTAGCAGCTCAGAGTAGTGTACTGATAATGACATAATTGTAGTGATCTTTAATTTCTTATGTTTGTTATACATGATTTTTTATAAAAATATTTCAAAAAAATTTACTTATTAGCATATTTCTAATAGGTAGAAAGCAAGGATAGATAAAGAAAACATGGATATTGCAACTCTTGAATGTTAGTAATAATAGCTTATCTTACTGATCATTCAGAAAAAATAACGATCAAATTGAAAACAAATGATGACCAAAGTAAAATGTAGGACAATATTATCTATATTCAAGTTAAATAGTTACATTTGATATATTTTTGTAGATTTTAATAATGACCTAACTTTTACTTCTGACTAAATTTTTTTAAAAAAATTTAATAGCACCCACTTTCTTGCCTAATAAATATAAGTTCAGGTGATCTGGAAATATGATCAAAACTCTTTAGAAAAAATTTTCACATTTTTAAAATTAGTCATTTCTTTCTTTTATAAAATAACATAGCAGAGAGATCTCAAAATGTGTGATATGAAGCCACACATGCTTATAAATTCTGGCTGGGCACATGAGAGCATGTCGGCATGTATGGAAAGGCTTCCTTCAAAGGTGCCAATGGGTTAAAGTGCTGAGTGATAAGGGAGAGAGGCAGTAAGACCAATTTCAAATCAACTGCAATTGTCTCTGATAGTGTAAGAAAGGTTTTCCAATAAAAATGGTGAAATAACAGAGAATATCTAGTTTTATAAGCTCCTGAGTCTTTGCACATCTTAGATCAGTCGTTCCTCACGATCTGACCTAGGTTTTACGCATCCATTCAACAGAAGAGAAAATTGAGGTTAAGTGACTTTGCCAAGGTCAGACATAGTAAGTGGTGAGGTGCTTTGCTTTTTTTTTTTCCAAGGAATAATGGAATACATGGATTTAATCAGAATTATAACAACAGGAAAATTATGGAGTAAGGAGTCAACTAATCAAATTAATGTCAATTAATGAAAAGATTGACAGGAGGCATGAGATACTCAGCAAACTCATAGCATTTTAGGTGATTTGGGTTTGCTTCAGAAGTTGCCTACAATTATATTTTGTTTCATATTTGTTTTACTCTATAAACACACTTTCAATTCAATTCTTTGAAATTAATGTGTTAAGCTTGGCTATGTTTTGTAACTACAACTCAAAGTAAGTAAAAGCTATACCATCCTTTGACATTATGAGGCAAAGAATTCTCATCACCATGTAGGTTTAACAACAAAAACCTAGTGTTTCAAATGAATTAATAAGCTCATATGGAACCATGCCCAAAATAATTGGTTTTCATTGCTAAAAGCTCTATTGTATATAGCAGGAAGAGTTACAATAGAAAAGAAATAGCCTTGGGTGTCCCAACAGAGCTGAAAGTTTATCTTAACTGAATTCTCATATGCTTTTTAAGGAGAGTTTTAACTTTAAAAATGGCAAAAGAAGCTATCTTGGAGTCATGGAGCCACATATTTTTTCTTCTTCCTAATTATTCCTATTTTCTATTTTTCTACAAAAATATTATTAATTTTGTTATAAGGATCTTAAAAAACATCTGAAATAAAAAATAAGGTGATGTTTTGCTGTTTTTAAAGAGGACTCTGAGAAGGTCCCTAGGCTCAAAGTAAGGTGTTCAGGGATCAATTCCTGCCTCTGCCCCTATGAGTGGTGGGATTTTTTTTCAAGTCAAATGACCTCAGTGCACCTCAGGAGCCTAGAGTATAAAATAACAAAAGTATTATTCATGTCAAGTGGTTGTCATGAGCAATAAATTGCATAATTTTTGGAAATTATTTTGCCAACAGTATGCAATCATACAAATAGAAGGTACTGGTGAGGTATCTTTATCCCCTCTTTAAATGAACAATGTTTATAGAGAGAGACCATGGCTCCCATGAGGGTGGGTGGCGATAGGAACAAAATGGAATTGATGTTTTAGAATATTTTACCCAAGTTGGAAAAGTGGTATTTTCCTGTTGTCGAAGATGACATAGCAGAAGGGGAAACCAGAGGCGACTGGTTGCCGGTATCCTGCAGCCCTCCAGTAGAATGGGAACGCAACCACTCCTTGCCTTCTTCTTGGTTGGCCTGCCGAGATGATGGGGTATATCTGCAAAACAGCACAGCTAAGACACTTAAGCACATCTACAAGGGCAAGGCAATACCAGGACAAGAAAACAATTGAGAGGAGCTTACTGTTCAGACTGAACAATATTCTCAAGCAGATTGAATCTAATTATAATTGCTTAGTTCTTCCAGATGATTTGATACCATCTGTTTCAATCTCACAGGAAAAAAATTAAAGGATTTTCAGAAGAAAATTATGCTTCTGTGAGAATGTAGTTGAAAATCATAAGCTATAAGCAGACAGCCAAGTTAATTGAGAAGGACTCAAAAGCATAGTGCTTGGGAGGAGGTGAAGGGGGTGAAAACACAGACTAAAAATGGTAGACAGTGGTAGGCCAGAAGCCAAGGGAATTGGAGTGATGGTCACAGAAGGGCATAGGAAATGGAACACAAATTGACAGATTTTTTTTTTAAAAAAAGAAAACATTTATTTGGTTAAAATGCCACTTGAAATCATGTCTGGATTTAAAAGAAAGGGGGATGGATAAATGGGCTCATCTTATTGAAAAATAAATTTCTGGAACAAAATCTTGAAATGGAATAATTGTAAGCTGTTTGCTGCTGCTGAGGAACTGGAGACAAAAGGGACAACAGGGAAAAGACCTACTCGGCCAGTACTCACTTTCACCAGAGTTAAGTAAACTCTTAGCACCAAAGAGCAGTCAACTCATGTTCATAGAGCAAGATAGCTCTGGTAGCAGTCCACCCTGGATCCTCTCCTCAGATAAAAGCGTGCAGTAAAGGATGGCATGAACTAAATTTTAATTTAATTTTTATGATGAACTTAATAATTATTCTATCATGTAACACTAGACTAATTCATATTTAAATTGATCTGATAGATACCAGCACTCCTGACAAATAGATATTATAACTGTTTTGAGTTTTTACCAAAAAATTTATTAAAAATTCATACCTTAATTAGAGTGTTTGTCCTCTGATGATGAAAATATATTTTCTTTGATTCAAATTAGAGCATCCTTCAACCTTTCAACATTAACTGGCCACATCTGTAGACTATATGGATTTTGAGGTTTTGCAAGCATATGCATCCAATATGCAAAAGTTAGGGAATTTTCAGAAGTGAGTTCTGCATTCTACCAAAAGTTGCTGTCCCCAAAATAATGGCATTTACATTGGATTTCATTTCCTGAGCATTGGCCTCTGTGAGCATCTCTACCCGAGGGCTATCTCACCAACTCCTCAGGCCAGAAAAAACATCAAGATTAAAAATTATTTTATCCTCAGTGTCAGGTGCTTCATTGCAAACAAATAAAGAAAGAGGAAGAGAGACAGTACACAAAGTTTACATAACAACAGAGAAAGGCAGCAATTGTGCTGAGAGAAATATATACCTTAGTCCCTTTTTGGGTAGTGTATTTCTGTCAAGCTGCATGCTGTTAAAACAAAGAAAACCCCTAAGGACATAATGTAAACAAAACTTCCAAATTACACATCCAACAAAAATGGTTCTCTGTTTGAACTACACAAAATAAATTTTTGTAACACAAATTTTGCTTAACTCACTGGAAAAGGCCAAACAAAAGTGACCGGATGTCCACTGTTGTAACACAGGTGAACTCCTTTCTAACCCAGGGTCACTCGATGATAATTCAGTGACAGGATTATTAGAAGACAGATTAAATCATACGTTGGCATAAATCCTCTCTAGACTCTATTTACTGAATGTTATGGTAGTTTTTTCTTCCTCATGCAGCTGACTAGACTTCTGCTACAATTTCACATGCAGGAGAATCGGAGAGGTGAAAATGAGATAAACCTGCTCTGCCTATGTTAAAGTGACAAGTTCCAATGGACAGAGAAGATGTAAAACACCGTTTAATACTTATTTTGTCTTCAAGTTATTTTTAATAAAAATAAAGGCAGATTTATTCCATTTACATATAAGGGAAGAAAAATAATAGATACTATATATCCGCTTGAAACACAATGCTTCTGACATCATTTCTTTAAACATTTTAATGAAATTAAACTATGCCATCTTTTTGAAATTATTAATTAGGTATTTTAAAGCCTATAAATTTTATTACTCTCTATTTTAAAGAATTCTTAATTGGTTGAAGAACGGGATGAAAGAATGTGTCTGGAGAAAATGAGAAATGGCCTCTCTAAAAATAGAGGAAGAGCATGCTAACAATTAAGCAGGAAAGGTTAGGGATTACTGTTCTAACCTCCGGCATGTGGGTAACCAAGGAATAAAATTAATTTGAATTTTCAGAATTCTAACTCTCTTCCAACAGAACCTCAAATGATCAAAATTAAATACACAGGATATGCACAATGGGGATGATATAAAATGGATGCAAACACGTTGACTTTAAATTGAATTACTCAAAATCAAAGCTAAAATGTTTTCTTCTGTGTGTACGCCATTAGTTAGCCCTGCAATAGAAGGCGTTATACCACTTTAACTTTATTTACTGGGATGTCCACACAAGGTAATTACTATATTATGTAGAGGTCAGTTCTAGTATATATCTTAACTACAGAAAATTTTTTTAGTAGTGTGGGTAAACAGACAAAAAGGAATCATACTGAACAAACGTGAAACCTCTAAAGATGGAGTACATTGTGCTAGAGCATTAACATGGTCAGAAGACATTTTAAAGATGATCGCTCTCATGTGTGCAAGCTTGTTGAAATTTAACATCGCAGACGAAATTGAAAATAGGCATTGTTTTGCCAATGTGGTCAATTGTATAAAAAATTATATGTTTATAAGATGCAAAGAATTTAATGGAAGAAAAATCAGAAAAATACATTTAAATTTACCAATATAAGTTAAACTTTAAGTAGAAATGTCTGTTTGAATCTGGATATTAATGATTTTATAATGTAGACACTTCCCACAAACCCTGAAAGGTTGCAAATTCATACGCCTGCAAGGGCCAGGCAAACCGTGACCATGAGTGAAGTGGGGGTTTTAGCCAACAGGCTGAGGGGGACAGGCTGTTTGCCCAAAGCCAAGAGTTGCTGCGTAGGATTTCGAAGGCAGGGTTGCCGGATCTGCATTTAAAGACAAGCCAGAAATACGTAAAGTGGAGGACTACTTTAAATTATTTTTAAAGTTTGTTAGGTCACAAAAAATAAAACAAAACAAAAGAAATGCGGACTGGTTACAGCCCAAGGACCACCAATGATCCAGAGAAGCTACAGAGGGAAAATTGCGAAAGAACTTATTTAATTATTTATGTATTATTTTAGTCATTTTAATGAAAAGGAATTTAAACAAAAATTAAAATCTTTATGAGTAACTATCAATTTAATAGTACTAGAATATGAATATGAATAAAGTATTCTGAAATTTTAAACAGATCGTGAACTTATGTACATCTCTATTACATCTCTCTGATTAATTTGTCTTAAGCATTTACGCTTTATTACACTTTCTTTCAGATATGGCGCCTCCGTTTTCTCAGCACCCCTAACATTCTGCTGACTGCTTAATTATAATTGAGCGACGATCCCTGATAGGATCTAATTTTCTCTTCAATAGATCATGAACTTTCTTGAATGTACTTTAAAGGATTAGAATATACTGCTGTTGATGCAATGTTGTTACTAAGAAAGAAAAAGTGTAACTTTCTGCGTCAAAAATTATTTCAATCCAGTAACTTACTAGGAAGAACTAATTAATATTTATATCATAACTATACCTATGAAGCTATTTTACTTTTCACACTTTAACATTCATCAATACATTTTATTAAGAATCAAGGGCAGAACAGTCATTTATTCAAAATTAATTTATTTAAAGTTTACTAGAAGAATTATCTGGCTCTTTTTAATACTAGAATACTCCCATTTGTAAAACTGGTCTGAAATATTTCAAAGACTGAACAACAACAACAACAAAGATTTGCTTAAAGAGAATAAGTAACTGTATATTAGCAAGTGTATTTCTATGGTGAAAATGTATATTGACTTCTGCTAAAATATAGATTGAAGTAAAATACTAACATGGCATTTATGATATATCTAGAAAATCATCAATCTTATATCTGGTTTGATTTTGAGAGTTACTTGGTTACAAATAGTTATTTGAACAGCTTTCTGAGTTTTCAGTGTCTGAATACCAGAGAAATAGGTTGATGGCTAAATGGTCAACTTGTTGTAGTCATATAGATGATTAAGAAATAACCATTATTTTGGAGAATGATTCTGGTCAATAAACAAAACTCTATTTGCAGTGTGCTTGGTTATTTGCATTCCTCACATATCAGTTACCATTAAGGATACATTTATCACAACTATAGGTTGTTAATATACTTTCAACATAATTTGATTTACTTGTTAGAACTTTTCAAAATGACATATGAGGATGCCCACATAAAGTGCGGAAACTCAATTCTAAGATGCTGTAGGAAGCCTAACTTCTTAGATCAAGAATTGAATGCAACAGTACTTACACCAGTGTTTGTGTGTATGCATTGGTCTGTACACAGGCTGTCTATAATGACAAAACGAGCAGGGACATGGACGCCAGTGTTTACATTTTAGTGTCTATCACCCACATTTTAGCGTCTTGTTTCTCTTGGCCTCGTTTTTTGTTTATGAGGAAAAACGTATTTTGTAAGTAGCAACCCACCATAGAAGTATCAAGCATCAATGTTTCAGTTAGTTCTAAAATTCTTTTACCAAGGGGAAGTCTGATTTGCATTGCTGCCCAGGTACCATTGTTAGGGGAGAGGGAAGTAAAGTGGGTTGTAAGCAGTGTTTTGTTTTGGGTTTTGCATTTCACAGAGGCAAGAGAAACAGGGAAGAGTAGAGGGAAATCTTAGATAAAGGGACCACTGGTGCACTGTAGTGAGAGTCTAGGTAAGGGCTTCAGTTGATGTTTTAAAAAGTGATTCTGGGAGTAAGGCTGGAAGTGTAGAAAAGAGGTGATATGTGAGCACCCAGATTAGAGCAAACAAAAGTTCAGGGAGAGGTATAGGGCATCTTCAGTGACCAGTAGTGCTTTTACAAGTAACACAGGTAAGATATGTGGTCAAGACTGTTTCTGAAAGCTTTAGGTGTGCCAAGAAGCAAACAGCACTGTCCCCCAGAGGAAAAGTGGCAGTTTTAAGACATTTTCCTGGGGGAAAGAATCAGTACCAAAATATCTGAGAAAGGATTTTTGGGGGAGAGAATCTAGACCCATTTTGGTCAACAGTGATGCTCTCCGGTAAGTATATTAGGTAAGAAATCGCCTTATTATGTTCTCCATTTTAAGTTAAAACACCAATAACTCATTAAACCTTGTAATGTGATTTATTTCCAAGGGATCTATTTAAAATGTCACTGGTGTTATAATTTTCTCTAAGAATTCATATCTGAGAATTGATATTTTTTCCAATTCAACTAGGATTCCCCAGTGATCCATCTGCTATTTTTCCATCAAAGTGCTAATAAAGTAAATTTAACATACTGCTCAGAGCATAATTGTAGAATCCATTTAAATTTGTTCTTTAAAAATGCTTGTTATCACAAGGAGCTGTGTAGTCCTGAAGCTTAAGCCAAATCATTAAAACGTCTTGAGAAGACATCATTCAATATATAAATACAAGCTTTGAATTTTATTCAAATTGTCTACTGGGTATAAATATATATGCAGTCATATTACAAAACTTAATTATCCAATTACCCTATCCTTAATGGTTTTTTACTCTGCAAACTCGGTAATAACAGCAAATAAAAGGCCCAATGTCATCAATCTCATGGCCTTTCAATCTTACATCCCTTTGCAAAGTGGCGCTCCCACTGAAATCAAGCGAATTTAATGGAGGAGGGGACAGGCACGGTGCGGGGAGGAGGGGATGAGGACTTCATCAATGCCTCCAGAAAAGCTCACCTTTCTGAGAGAGTAGATCTCACACTACCCGTTCTCATGAGCAGGCTCTGAACCTCGTGAGTGCCTGTGGTCAGTCCAGACAGGGAGCCATGATGGCTGAGGGGGAGGTCAATAGACTCAGAGCTCGTATGGAGGCTAGTCATGGACTGGTAACTTGGAGTGTCCTTGCTGCCAGCAGAGGAACTGCTCAGATTGGCAGCCCACACGAGACCACCTGATGTGAAAGAGTGAACCGATGCTGGGCTGGAAGCCAACGAGTGACTTAAGCTTATAACATCTGTAGTTAAGTCTGAGGGTTTATTGAAGAGAGGGCTGCTGCTGCCACTTAGCCCACCAGCACTGCCCATGCTGCCCGTACCAGACGACGGTGACTCCAGACTGCCTTGCCGCGCTAATGTGGTACTAGGACTGGGCAGTACTGAGGAGGATTTCACACCCTCAGTATTAGGTGCAGAGGCAGATTTGCCACCTGCCTTGGCACCAAACAACCTAAAAGAAAAACAAATAACAACTTCAGTTGTTCCAAGAAACTAATATCCACATTTACCATTTAGGGCTACAGTACACAGAGCCAGTGTGCTTCGGTGCACTGAGCTACCAAGCACCTCCTGTCTCTATGCAAATGAACTCTACAAGCTTGAACTTCTTAATCTAGTGCCAAAAATCTCTCATATCCCCATGAGGGTAAGTTGGTACTGGGCTGCCACCCAGGGGGTGGTCGGAAGTGGGCAAAAGAAAAGTTAAACATTCATGAAAATCCCTGGCTTTCACAATTTAAGTGATCATGAGAATCTTTCATAAAAATTAAATAGTTTAACTATACTCGCTCTTACCTATTTACAGGACCATTATGATGAAACAACTTCTATGCATTCAAGATACAACATTTAAACAATTTTTTTTCCATTTTAACATTTTATTCAAAATCTAAAAGAAATGCTTAAGGCGAGCTTTAGGAGGTTACGTTGCATATCTGATGGCCTGAACGACTGTCAGAGAGTAGCAGATTAGAAACAATACTAGACATTGTTGGCAACATGTCAGTTTGTCTGTATTTTCCCCAAGAAAGACCAAAGGGTTTTATGTCAGTTGCCAGTATATTCAAATACATATTTATAATACTGATTTGAAACATAGTAGGTGCTAAGTTAGATGCTGGAGTTTGGTTCAGAAAACATTTTAGTTTTGTAAATGAAGCAGATGATATAATCAAATTTATGTAAATATGGAAATAAAGTGATATGAAGTAATGGCATAATGATTACTAATTAAGTTGCAATGAAATCCATATTTCCCATAGAGAAATATTTTACGATGAATATGAGAAATTGTTTCATAGGTAATGGGCCACTGGAGGGCACTATTAGCTTCTACTTAAGCAACAAATAAACTACAAGCCATCATACTTTCCAATGAGAATCTACATTTCAAAAAGCCAGTTTTGCAGGATTAATATTTCTTCTGAGGAATATAACCTCTAGGCTTTTCAAACAAGCACATATCTGAGATTGCTTGAAATGTAAAAGTAATTTCAAGACCCTTTATTTCCCAGATATCAAGGTTTTTGATTTAGTCAGTAAAATAAACACTAAAAATACTTAACATGTGACAGACTATAAATCATACACTATCATTTCATAGATGAGGAAACAGACCCAGAGAGATTTAACTATTTGTCCCAAGTCTTTAACTGTATGTACTTTCCTGACATAAAACACACTGGTATTTAAACACAGTGATATCTCAGAGCAGAACTCCACATACTCAACACCAGAGACAGTCCTGGTCCAGAAACCAAGTCACGCTGCTTACCAGAGAGATGTCACAGAAAGCTGGTGAAGAGTTAGAAAACCTAGCCCATACCTTACTTCTTATCCTGTACCAAACATCTGAATGTTTTCAAATTCTGTCAATCACATCATACCTTGATATTCATTAATATCTCAAGATATGGTACTGTATAAATCTGGCCAATGCAATCTGTTAGAAGGAAAACAACTTCATCTACATTCATGATCATTGACTTGTTAAGAGCCAGCAAGATAAGAAATACTGGAAGTGAATACCAATAGCCATAAAAACCTATTTTGTTTTTTAATTGTGGAAAGAAGGGATGGAAATCTACGGAAATTTCATAAGCTATTACTGTATTTTATCACTACCCCTAGGTATTGCCATCTGCTTTTATGTCTCTCATAAATGCTGTTTGTGTTGCTAATATTACAACGATAATAAAACTGCAAAGTTTGAGCAGTCCTCAAAGTGAGGCCCATTGTTTTGCTATTTATATGATCAGCTTCTTAGAACTCACTAGACTCAGAAACTGAATAAAAGATTCTAAGATATACGTATCTTAGAATACATATATTTAGGATATATGAATAATCTCTAAAGTATCTTCTATAGGTTAGGATATAAGACGTACATATATATATATATCCTAAGATACAGCTTTTATATTTTCCCAGCATCCTTATATGCATCCTTACCTTCGAAATGTAGGTGAGGCAATATCAGGATACTTGGATCCTGGCTGCCTGAGGCCTTGTGTCCCACAGGCACTGGCTGAGGTGGGGCTGGACTTGGGGGAACCTGATAAAGAAACACTCTCTGAATCTGAGACTGCTACTTTTTCCTTTTCCTTGTCTGTTTGGTTGACAGTGACGGGACTGGAGCGCCCTGACCCAATCTTAGTGGGTTCTCTCAGTTTCGAGGTGGTAGCACCAGCTGACTTGCTGCTGACATTGGAATCAATACTGCTGGTGCTGGATCTGTGGCCACCTCGGCCGGGAATGCCACTAGTGCTGGATTTGGAAGGGCGGGGCAAGCTGCGGTACTGTAGGGAAGTCTTCGAGCTAACATGCAGCCCAACATCATCCTGATTCTGTGAACCGTCCAAGCTGGTTTTTCTCCCTGCATTTGACTTCCCACCAATGGCAGCAGATTTGGGAATTTTCCCCAGCGTTGCTGAGCCACTTGCTATGGTCGCTCCACTGCTGGTGATCATGGTAGATGACCCCACTCCACTTGGTTTCTTAAATCCAAAGGAGCTGGTGGCAGTTGATCTTCCAATGCCCGAGGGGGGCTTCTTTCCTTCATCTCCACTGCTCTTTCCTGCATCTGATGGGGACCTTTGTAGAGACGATCCTTTCAGAGGAGTTTTCCCTTTCTCTGAAGCTTTGGCATCATCGGTTTTCCCTAATTAATGAGAAATACACAAATATATGTACCTGCACATTTTGATTTGAAAATATTTCTTTAAAAAATGTATAAAATGTGAATATGTCTTTATATTACTTCAGTTGCTAAATTTCACATCTAAGTTTTAGATCTAAGTTGGCATGTACTCTAATATACTGGAAGGATTACAAAGCTACAAAAATATGGCTGTCAGAGGAAACGTAATGAGAAATCAAGGAGATAAAACGATAATGTATTTTTGCTACTTATTATTGTCTTACATCTTGCAACTCTTGTTTTAGAAGGATAGCACTTAATCTTATCAAGCTAAGTGTTAGATAAAGAATTCATCTGAATATCTGTGAGATGATTATCTTCAGAGCGCCCTGTTACATCAGTACTTCAGATGACACTATTTAAAATTAGGCACTACTTAAAAAATAGGGAGAGGGTCTTTAAAAAAACAAGGGATGGTATAATTGGCAGAATTATTTCACTCTCTTCTTTCATAAAGTCTAATTCACAAATGATGTTTTAAATCTCCAGCATTCCAACCATTAGATTAGCGTGATTGCTCTTGCCTCTCAGAGTTGTTGTGAAACCTTGTGGCCTATTAACATAAATATTCCAAACTTTTATAAGGAAGTCAGATCAAAAGCAATCTTATTTTTATTAAGCCGCCTTATTTTATCTCCACATGTCCAGAAATATATGGCAAAATAAAGACACCCAATAGCCCCAAATTATGACCATGCTCTCTAGAGATGCCTAGATTATTATATTCATGTTGACTTATAAGATAAAGTACGTGAAATTTAGAGAGAAAAAAGTATTTATTCAGAGAAGAATCTGATTTAATTAAAAAAGAGAGAGAAAGCTGTTACTAAAGAGAACAAGGATCAAACAGAAAGAAGAAAGTAAAACCCTTCTGCATTAATAGTTGCCAGATGACAAGCCTACCAGGCGTCTTGAGTGCACCCGGCCCAGCTTTCCGCCCCGATGGCGCTCCTCCGTGGGCAGACGCGCCTCTTCTCCAGGACCCTGTCTGTGAAACAGAGAGGGCGGCTTTCTGCCCCGCCTGCTCAGGGTCATCAGGAAGTCCTGAGGAGACGCCCTTCCACTTGCCACCACCATCCCCCTGGCTGTCAAAGTCCTCTTCTGTTTTTTTCAGCTCCTCAGTACTATCCCACGTCTCATCCGTTGCAGAACGTTTCTCTGAATCTGTCTTCAGCTATGAAGAAAATATCACAGAAAAATTTTGTGCAGAAAATCTATGAAATGTGAATTAGGCACCGGCATGTACTTTCAGGTAACTGGTTAAGAAAAAGAAGTGCTGATTTATATTTCAAAAGAATTCCAAAGACTCTTCTATTTTTATCTATGTCTTCATTTAAGTTTCATTAATTTTGGCCACATAATTCTCACTTGCACAGATTAGAGAATGTCAGAATAGATGTGCGCAGAAAACCCCAATTGAACACTCCAGAGAGAAAGAAATTTTCTATGTCAAATCTAACAAGGAAAAGTGAGACAAGACAAATCTTAATTATCTAATATCCATTCTTGATTTCTCATTCTCAGGAGATACAGTCATGTATTTCAGAGATCAATATAAAATAATCAAGAACTATGCAAAATTAGACTATTTAAACAATTTTTGATCTCTAAACAAATGTATCAACATTATAAAAAGAGATATAGCAATATAAGTCTTCCTGGGTCAGATTGTAATCAATAGAAAATATCTATATATGCGAGCTGCTTCAGTTTATGCAATTATTTCAGATTAAGAAGTTGTGCTACATTTTAATCTAATATAAAATAATTTGGGGAAAACACTGGCAGACACACTGGAAAAAGAGGGAAGGCAATTCTCACCTGAGTGCTCTTCCTGGAAGGGACGGTGATGTTGGAGTAAGAGCTGACTGATGACGTGGTGTTCAAGTCGTCGGTGCTGATGTTATCCAGGGTGTCACTGAGACCACTGCTTACTGAACTGCTGTCATCCCAGCTAAAGGCAAGACAAGCAGCAGAAGTGAACTAAACACACGATGTACAATGCAAGTCTCCTATATTTCCATATAATATTTATCACGTACTAGGAAGACAACCCTTTTTTTTTAATCTTATGATGAAAAATTATTCACTTTTCATTTTTTGAAAATCATATTAATAAGACTTGAGTGCAGACCTGAGAATAACCTTATCTGATATATGCAAAGAATCCACGTCTAGAGCAGATCCTGTGGATCGTTTATGGAATGAAGGAAAATACTGCTAGAAATATTGCATGGTATCAGGAAAGAATAACATTACCGATTAACTTTTTTTTCCTGAAAAAAGCAACCAGGAGTCACATAGCATGTAAGAATTCATCCTGTGCTCTAAAAATTAAAAACGAAAAAAAACAACAACTGTGCTTTATTCAGGAACCAGAAAGTCATTCTTCTTTCTTCTACTTCAGCAACAACTTTCAATCATTCACCAAATCTTGAATACTGAGTCCTTTCTATCGTATCATCCCTCCTCCACACCTCATGATTCCTGGACAAGACACCATCTCCTCTTCTCTGGCCTTCCTGCCTCGGGTCTTTCTCAATACAACTTCATCTACTAAGCTGGCAGGAGTGATCAAAAATTCACACCTGGCCATGTCACTCCTCTGCTTAACACTCTTCAAAGACTTCTCTTTACCGAAGTAGTAGATTCCAAAATGGATTTCACCTGCCCTGCAGGGTGCACAAGGCAATCTGCTTGGGCATAAGAAACATATCTGAAGTTCTGAATATATTTGTTTATAATCTAAATAAGAATAAACAAAATAGGCTATATCAATATTCACGAACAGACATAGGGACCCTCACTCAGTCAATCCGTGAGATGATGCAGAAGTAACGTAAGATGAGCAGGGTAACCTGAATGAAGATGTGAGCTCCACAGTGTGCACGGGTGAATCACGGTTCTCTCACTTACGGGCTGGTTCTCAGTCTATTGTGATGTACTGTTGCTTACCTACACAGTACTAATCGAATTCATGCACATTGCATATGGATATTAGATATAGACAAAAGCTAAGTCTCATAAAATGGACAAGCAGCTTAAAAAATCTCTTGCAAATAATCCACACACTGAAAAGAATGTCCATAATGAAATCACAAGCAAACTACAAAGGAATGGTGAAACGACACTTTCCTCCTCTGGTATGTGTACTCTATGAGTCACATCATAAATTCAGAATAATCGTGATGTATTGAGATCATATATGAAACCAATTAGAAAAGCAATTATCAAAAAGAAAATCTGAAATTGAATTTATAGAAAATATTGTTAATGATGATCCCTTTCCAGGTGTTTATTTTTCTTGAGATATTAGCTACTGATAGCATAAAGCATGATTATCAAATACATTTATAAATCATATTATCAATAATTGTATTTTTAATGAGAGCAAAAGGGTATTTTGTATGATGTTGCAAATATCTGTCATCTTCAGCTGCTCAAATCTTTTGAATACCCTCCCTACATCTTATTTTGATAATTTCTCACATTAGGAGTCTTACCTTCCCAAGGTAGACTGCAAAAAATTCACATTTCCAGACTCCCTTACAGACAGATACAGCATGTAACACAGGGCTTATGATATGCACCCAGAGTCACAAATGAGAAAAACAATCTTCCGGCAGACACAGTAGCAGAGTCACTTGATTCTCCTCTACCAGCACTGGCAGATACCTAGTCTCCAGTTCCGAGGGTCAGAGGAGCCCAGCAACGCCCTGGGACTGTGGTTGGCTAAGAGCCTGCTAAGAGCCTGTTCTGCAACCACCCCGATTATTCAGAGAGACTTCTAATATCCTTTAATCCCTTAAATTAGCCAAAGTAGCTTCTGTAGTTTGTGACTAAGAATTTTTATCAATACATTCATAATTTTCAAAATATTAATTTCCTCTTTAGTATACCTTTAAATTTGTTCTTCCATATGTTGTATTATGCATTAACTGTCTTCTCACAGAAACACATGCACATAAATTATAAAAATATACATATACACACTTTGGCAGCCACTAGTCTAAAGCAAAGTTGAGGCTCCTTAAAAAGACATACAGGGCTTTCCATCTTGTGCCCCTAGTCTACCTGTTTAGCTTAAACTCTTTACATCCCCTGCCACACATTCTGCACTGAGAGCTGCTCTCAGTCCCCATCCCATCAAGTTGTTTTCAACCTCTGCCTTTGATCAAGCTACCCCTCTGCCTATCTGACTTACCCATACTCACTATGAAGAGTTCCAGTGTCCCATCTTCTAGGAAGAATCCTTCCCTCTGTGCTGTCAGGTTGGGTCAGGCAGCTGTCCTCTGCACTGCCACAATACTACACACAGACTTTACAGGACTGGATTTAACACAGTGTTCTGCAAATCTATAAAAACCTGTCTAAATGAACCGTTATCCTGTGAGTTTTCTGAGCACAGAACTACATTTTCTATGAATTTCTATTGTCTAGATCAAAGATGAATACATAAATGTTGAGGTAAAGTCTCATGTTTTATTGAGGTTAAGAGAAAGGCAGTTACAGAGGTAATCTTCATACTCATACGAAATGAATTTTTAAGGAATACCTAGCACAATATATGCAGTATTCAAAGAGTAAAATTAAACCGAAGGTAAAATTTCTGAGTACTTTTAAAGTGATTATTTCTCTGGCAAGAAAGACAGAATCAATCTTTCTAACAATAGCTTCTACAAACATAAATCCCAGCATCAGTGACTATCAGTCAAATGCAACAACTCTTACTGGAAGCATAATAATCACTGATGTTTTAAAACCATTAAAAGTCTCAAATGAACACAATGACTTTGTGGTTAAAATGATACAAATGAAAGAACCGAATAAGATATAAAGTTTCAATCTCCCATTAGAAAAATAAAAAATATGTCAAACTAACAAATATAATATCATAGACATGAAGAATGAATTTCCAAATTTAGCTTGGTACAATGGATTCACAGAATTAAAGTCTTTCATTAGAGCCTTTTTAGTGGTGCACAGCGAGTGTATTCACTTAAACTGCTACTCTGACTTTCCTGGCTCCCAGGGCTGTGTGGGAAGCAAAGAATCACTTCTATACATCATTTTATAATATTTTCCATTTTTCCATCTCCTCAAACTGTTTCACCTTTAAGATCTCAAATTCTGCAATCTCACTTTTGGACCACAACCTTCCACATTTTCAGCACTCTAAAATCTACTGATTCCTAATTTTTATATCTAATTTATAGTTAGTTCTTGTTATCTATTTTTAATAGCTTTCTTGTGTCTTTTCCTCCACTGAGTTCTTTTCGAAATGATGAAGCATCCAAAGATGCTAGCACAAAAAGATCACTCAAGTGATAGTCTAACCAGTACACTATTCCAGTTATTGCCACCCTCGTGGTCGTCCATCTCTGTCCCAACTCTACACTAATTAAACATATGTTTTCTCCATATCTCCATTTTGGAAAATGACAACAAAATCAACTAATTAGAATGACTAATATAATAATATATATATGTTTTATTATGTATAATACCTAATTTAATGACTGAATGCATATAGGTTCTAGTTATCTAACCTCAGGTGATTCCTAGGGCTACTTGGGAATTCTGTTTTATCCTGAAGTAATTTTCTTCAAATTCCAAAGACATAGTGTTATTTCTCTCTTCTTCCTCTGGATTCTAAGATCTCCCTCCTAATATTTTACACAAATTGCTTTCACAAGGGTCAATACATCCATGAATTGAGGACTTCCTCTGTGTCCTATTCTTCTAATTTCTTAATATATATTATCTAATCCTCAAACAAATCTATGAGACAGGCATTATAAAGATAAAGAGGTTCGGGTAGGTTAAATGATGCACTCAAGATCTCATGATGGAGCTGGGATTTGCACCCAGGATATGTCCCAAAGCTTGGTTAATACTATGCTCCCCTGCCTCCCATCTTCCACCCTATGTCTTTTGAAATATACCCATGACAAGCCTGTACAGGCTCTTTGCGAACCTCACTAGCATCCTCAGAATCTACTTTTCCCTCTTATTTGGGATTCCTTGAATTCCTCAATATTCAGAACTTAATTTTAATTCATCTTACACAGTCTTTCTTAGAAATTTCCTAATCTACAGCTTCAATATCCCTTTATGATTACGATACTCAAATTCACATCTCCAATCCAGACTTCTCTCCTGACTACAAGATCACTGTTTCCAGCCTCGCAGTGAACAGTTTCTCGAGGACATCCTGTCAGTATCTCAAATTCACTCTCCTAAATTACATCATTTCTCTTTAAAAATTCTTCTCCCGTTCAGTTATTGGCATTACCTGTTAATCCTTCTGCCATAAAATATTAGTATTACTGCCTATCTTGGTTCCATCTTAGTCAAGTTGTCTCTAATCCTTGAAAATCCTTCTCAGCTATAGATAACACATCTACACTTTTGTTCCACATCTCCACTACCCATGCTTGTCCTTCCTTGCATAAAAGCTATTAGTAAGTATCCGTTCTTATTCATTAAGTGCTGAATAAATTACAGCTCCTCTCCTTGAAGAACTCAGTGTTTACTGTGGAGGACAAGAATTTAAACAAATGATTATAATATAAAACGTTAAGTGTTGTAGCAGAGGTGAGGCTGAATGTGTTGCAGGACAGAGCCACTATCACTTATTTAAAGAGCTGATGAATTTCTTCATGATAGGGATATTGCAGAATGATCAGATGAAGTCTGTATTAATCACTACATTGTAGCATATGTCACCTGTTATAACCATTTTGGGGGCCTTTTCTATATTCTTGGTCATAATCTGAATTACCCGAAGTCAGGGACCGTGTTGTATTTGTCTTTATAACCATAGCAAATAACATGGTGTGTGCTATTGAATACATGACTAGTAGATGCTTGTTAAAAAATGAAATCATTTTACTTTTGAAAATGCTACTTCTATCTGATGTTAAATTGGATTGAATCCAATAAAAAATGTAG